GATACTTGCGGCTGTCCTTCCGACGTCCGCGCTCCCGCCTTCCAGGCTCGTTTCATGCCTCGTCCTGATCCATGATCCAGAAGCCCGAGACTCGGCTCTGGCCTGTCCTATCACGCCTGATACGAGCTTCAAGCGGACAGTCTGTCTATTCACGATAGCCTGACTGACTTAGGAACTGAAGCGCGGTGCACTTGCAATCTGTAACGTCCTTCCTTCGCCAGGGATAGAGCCTGACGACAGAAACCAGCCAATCCAGTGACGACTCACACAATTGGGGTCAACCGGAGGACGCCGGTGTGCCATGGTCGTGTGATGTGGTGCAATTCTCGTGTCTGAGACATGGCCAAGCGACTCCGACCGCCCTCTTGCGTCCAATGGGATTGCAGCCAGGCCACGACCTTCCCGGTTTCATGGTAGCAGTCTCGCTGGCTTTAGCGTTCCAAATAGAAATTTCTTCGACGTCGCTTGCAACAAGGCCCTTCTTCTTTCATGCTCCAGTGGAAAACAGGTGGGTGGTGCGACTTTTCCATCTCGGGTCGGAGTCAGAAGGGATACACGTTTGGGCTGCAAAACACGGTCGACACACAGATAAGCAATCTGGGAGCATCGAAGGTCGCGTGGGCAATTGCGCAAATCCTTTCATGCAGCAGACAGATCTTCAGTGCCCTGGTGAAACGCTCAGCAGAATCTTTTTTCAAAACATACTTTTGTTGAAGGGAAAGTTCTTATGCAAGAGGTCAACTTCCGACCTCGGCAATCCCCTTCCCGGGCATTCCCAGATCTCATTCGGTTGTCAAAGCCTATCTTGGCCGAGCTAGACGGTACATGATAAGCAACCCGCTTTCTTGGCCCGACGGAAGCTGTCCCAACCATGCAAGAGGTGTCGTTCATTTCAAGATAGAGACACACACTCCTCACTTTTGCATTCAAAATGCGAGGCGGACTGGGAAAACAAACTCATCCTGCATCGCGTGCGCCGGGAGAGGAGCATGACCGATTTCAATCATCACTCGTCGGTCGGTCCACCCCACCATCGTTTGCAATTATCGAGGATGGCCTCGGCGAGAGCCGAGCAAGCGATCGGGCATGATCTCGCTATGCGATCTCCGATTTTTTACTCTCGAGAAGCTGGTTCTGTTGAAGGCGTTCTCACACAGCAGCGCATTCACGGCGTCCAGTGGAACGCCTGTTCTTTGATTCAAGACGTCGTTCGTCCGTTTTCTGAAGGATGTCACATGTTCTGAACACATCGCGCTACCACACGGAAGCTGCACCGCGTACGTGGGCAGAGGTTTGAAGTGCATACGAAACGAACGGCATTGATGAGTTATGCTCGATTGCAGAAAGATGATTTATTCCAGATTTGGAAGGGCAGAGATACGATAGAAAGGTCACTGGCTGTGGAAGAAAAAAGCGGTCCATCTACTTCTTCTTTCCACCACCCATTTTGGCGATGGCAGCCTTCCTGGCGGCCTCGTCTTCCTTTTGCTTCTTCTGGAAGGCGAGATCCTGTGAATCCACAACAAACATCGCCAAGCCGAATCATCCATAGTCCAGATCGAGTCATCCACATGGACGACAGAGACGGGCACAGCATACGAAAGTGGAAACCAACAATAGTCAGCAAATGGCTCTTTCCATCTCAAACTTCCGACCTCCGTCGGGACTCACGTCTTCGTCGAGCTCCTTGTTCTGCTTCTTGGGCGCCTTGAGCGGCTTGGCTTTTCCTCCTTGACGTCCCGACATGCTTGTGTATGCGAAAGATGTGTGTAGGGAGAGATGGGGGTCGTAGACGAGAAAGAACTGTTGGAGAACGTGCACGAAGACAGGGAAGGAAAAATTGGCCTGCATTTCAGGGTCCAGCTTCGTTACTTTCGGAGCCGATGTTGCAAAGTCTGCAGTTGTCATGATTCGCGATTCAACATCTCAAAACAAATCCGACGGACGAGTTTATCAGCAACCTCGAATTCGGAGCTCGAGAACGACACAGGGGCACACAAACACGCAGTCGACAACGCTCTGGCATGAGATTGTCCATTGAAAAGTTGCATCGCAACCTCTTCATGAGCGTTGAGACATGATCGACCACAGAGTCCTTGCCTACGTTCTATCAGTACGGCGTGTGAGCGTACTTGCCACGGGGTGTGGTAGCGTACGAGTCGTACGCGTCGTGTCCACCATAGCCAGCAGGCTCCCTGTTGTTGTATCCATGCTGACCGCCAGCGTAGGGGTCGCTCGGGTGAGGCTCCCACACAGCCGAGTCCCTTGGGTTCATCGGGATATCCTGGTAGCTCACCTTGCTGTCCCTGAAGGCCTTCCTCTGTTCTCCACCGTACGCCCTCTGCGCAGCCAGCATGTAGAACTGCGTCAACGCCACCAATACGATCAGACCTGCCATGACACCCGTCTGTGCCCACACAAAGATGTTGCAGATCGACTGGCCTGACTCCGAGAAGGCGTCCGTCGACTGACCCAGGCCCGACAGAGACAGCGAGGACGATGCGTTCGAGTTGGAAGGGATCACACCGTATGTAGAAACACACGCTCTGACCGCCTTGTTGTGCTGAGCTGCTGCGACAATAAGGAATGCTACGGTTGCCGCGATGATTGCGAGTGTGAGGACCAGGTTGATGCGCAAGTAGGTGCGGTAGAGCGTGGGCATCTGACGAGCCACCGAGACCAAACCGATGATCTGCCATACGAGCGTGATGAATCCGAGGGCGGCAACCAGCCCCTTCGACCATGACGGAATGACACCGTCTCCGGCAACGATTGCGGGCGGAACGAGCGCGCAGATGCCCACTGCAAGCGCTACGAGTGCTGTCTCGAGTACCAGTAGGTAGGCGCCGACGTTGACGAGGGGTAGGTAGCAGCAGCAAAACTCCATCCCACTGCCTCTTCTGCGACCCATGATGTTCAAGGATGTGCTTGAGCTCTAGAGGCTCAACTTGAAGAGGGAAGAAGTTTGCGTCCGAGCCGTCGAAGTTGACTGACGGTGCTGGTTTTGGTGTGACGAGGACCTCCTTGTACGAAGCTGTAACGAGGTTGTAGCGGTTCGAGTTGTGAGCGATGCTTCGAAAGATGATCACCTAGAGGCTAATGCGGAGGTGAGAATGATGAAAGATGGTGGGTAGATGTGGTGTCATGAGAAGAAGGAGACGAGGTCGAACGAGACAATGCGAACGTCGATAGCTCGACGATGGCGTTGGTGAAATGCACGAGCACTGCAATCCTGCATGCAGGGCAGCAAAATCCGCATGGATTCTACGAAAAGGAGTCAACGAGTCGGCGAACACGGCTGCACTGCCCGTCGGTCAACAGAAGGTGGCAGTGCCGCTAAAAATCCCCATCGCGCGCTGTTCCGCACCGCTAAATCAAGGCGATCTACAAATACAGTTCCATTTTTGAAAGCCCTCGTAGCGCAGTGCGGCGATAATTTAGATCCTTGGCTAGTGACTTTGCCGAAGCGAAACTCCACGCTAAGCAGAAAGAGAGGAAGACGCCGAAGCTAAAATCGGGCTCATGGCTCGAGGTTACCCGATGAGATCTTTCCTTGATGGTTGATGCAGGCTTCAAGCTCGCAACAACGTTGAATGTGACCCTGCTGTTGATTGCTATGTGCACCATGACGCTGTCCGTCAGATTCGAGCTCGCCACGTGACGTTGCGTCGCTTGGCAACCTTTGAACGTAAAAGTACGACGCTGATGGCCGAAGCGAGGCAGATGCTGCCCATGACTAACAGAGCTGGACGGTAGGCGTGCGTGCCTGCTCGAGGCCCTCCAAATGCGTCTAGTAGATAGCCGGCCAAGGGACCTCCTAGAAGCGAGCCGAATGCTCGCGAACACATCATCATTGACATGGTCAGCGCAGTCTGGTGTACACCAAAGATGGCTGCGTTGACGGGAGGCTGCAGCGACAGCAGAGCACCCGTGCTGCTTCCGTTGAGCACCATTGCCAGTGACAACGTAGCAAGACTCGTCGAGACAGTCCACACGGCGAGAATGCTGACGCTCGCTAGCATCAGTGCTAGCATCAAGCTGCTGACTGGTCCAACGCGTGTATCTGCCAACATACCAAACGCGACTCTTCCCACCGCCGAGGCCAGACTGTATCCCGCAACCAACCACGCACCCGTATTCGAACTGAATCCGGCTGACTTGGCATACGTTGGCAGAATGAACGGCGGAACAAACAGCGGGAATGTGCCAAGCGCTGTCGCAAAGAGCAGCAGATTGAAACGTGCGTCGCGAAACAAGGACGGGCGAAACGCTTCGACGCACCTTCTCCTCCTCTCGTCCTGATGCGGCACCAACCAGTATGCCAGCGGAAGCATCGTCACCCCGGCAGCGAGACCCAAGATCCTGATGGACCATTCGATCCCGACTCTGTTCGCCATTGCTCGCAGCGAGATGGAGCAGATGGCACCGCCAAAGCCACTTGCGCTGTAGACGATACCGATCACTAGCCCGCGCTTGCTCTTGAAGTATCCGACTGCGATCTGGCTCGTCGAAAAGAACACCAGACCATATCCGATACCGATCATGGTAGCGAACACGACGATGTTGCCCATTCTCAGCTCTAGTTCCTGCTGGACTCCGTCGCCGAGCAGCAGCTTCGGGTGTGTTGCCGGATACCAGCTGGTGGAGAGACATGCATAACCGACAGAAACGCAGACGGCACCCGCAGCGGCAACAGCACGGTTTCCGAAGCGAGCGACGGCTTTGGTGAAAGGTATCGACAAGACCGGCATGGGGATGACGGTGAGAGACGAGATCCAACCGAGCGTGGAAGCGTCGGATGCTCCGCCCGACACGAGCGCCTCTTGAATGATGCCGAACGAGTAGACGAGGCCGAGGGTGAAGAAGAAGTACACTGATGCGCACGCCACGACTGTCCAGCCCTGAACACCGCCTTCCACCGTTATGTCTTCGCCACCACCGTCGGCCTCGCCCTCCGCCACATCCATGGGGGTCATGCCGTTCGTTGCCGAGGCGACACCACCCGCACGATCCGTACTGATGGTCTGGTCACTCTGGATCTTTCCATTCTCCATCGTCATACTGTCGAATGTCGCTTCGACGGGCGCACGCGGTCGAAGCTGTGCGCTGCTGGGCTCGGCCACAGGTATTGAAGTGGCTGATGATCCAGTAGCGCCGGTCGACATTTTGGAAGAGATCATCTTGACGTGACGGTCGTGATCGGAGATACTCGAGCGAACGAGTTGTATGACTCTAGATGAAGTCGTAGTGTAAGGCGACATGTCGTTTGGAATTCGAACAAGGTTGTCGAGTCAAAGCAAGAAAGAAGCAGAAGATGCGGAATTGGCGACACGACCAAATCACTACAGTTCGTATACTTTTCCGATGCTCGACTCCATAGAATGCTAGTCGTGGAATAAAGGTGGACCGGCGTGGACAAGTTGCTCGTCGGCAAGGGCTTTATAATCGACATGTAACTGCCAGGGATATGACGATACCTACGATTCGGATGACCCCGGCTGTGTTCGAGCTGCCAAAGACGCGATAGGTCTGCTTTGACGGGTCAAGACGGCAGAGGCTCCGTCTTAGGTCATGCGACGTGCTGAATGGATCCGTTCACGAAGCCGAGTCGGGTATGACCGAGTCACAAGGCAAAGGTCGGGGAAGGGGAGGCTTGCGGGGTATACACGTGGTCTTGTGACGTGAAGCTGCCTGACACAAGCCGAGCGCTACCTTCCGACGTCTCTTGCTGTGTGTCTCTGCTCACTGGAGTGACTGCTAGCCTTCCGTCGGAAACAGGTCCTATGACCAGCTATGCATTGTCTGACAAGCGACAAGGGAAGGCTCGTCGTTCGGGACAGAACGGCTCCCGGCGGTAGAGCTTGCTGTCAAGTCGCGAGAAGACCCTGACCTTTCCGACATTAATCCGCTCGAAACCGACTTGTTTCCTACATTTGGCCTAACACCCTAAAAACTTTACCTGTGAGGGCGACCCGCTGTGTATTGCCGGCATGATCTGTGTCTGACAGATTTGCCGCCGTACAGGTCCGCCCTTTCGACCAAAAGCGAACGACTCAGCTTCACACTCTTTGGCAAAAGCTTCCGCGTTCGATGCAGACAGCAGATACGATCTGCCCACACTCAACCCACACACCTGCAACAGAACGGAGATGCGTCTTCCGAACAATCCGGAAGATTTTCTGGCTTGCAGCCGCGCATACTGTATCTCTCGCGTGAACCGCTCGTGCGCTAGCAGCGTCTTTTGATGTGCTCAGCACTTGAACAGCGACGGTGAACGTTTCTATGCTGCTGCAAGCACGCTGTGCGGGCATAATGGCGTCAAAAAACCGCTGCGACCGGACTCTGCAGACCGCCATGTGCTGGTCGCTGAGTTTGAAGACTCCACAATTTGTTTGTTGCCTTCAGCAATTCGCCGTGGAAACTTGAATCGTTCGAAGATGACATACTTCGAACTACCCCACGTTGAGTCGAATTGGCCGCCCACTTGCGCCACTTGAAATTTCGGTGCTGCCGCCAAGCGCATACAGTGTCGCTTGGAGCCCGTTCGGTCTGAGCAAATGCAAGCGAAATGGTAGCCGAACCGTTCGCCAGCTGATTCGTAGCGGTCCTTGTGAACACCGACAGCCTTGCCTTGGCTTTGCTTTGCTTTGGTCTTGTTGGCCTCGCTTGGCTCGGATCGGCTGCTCAGCTGCGGGGGTCCACGTCTCCTGCTATGCCGCATGATTGTCGGCCTGTCACGAGGCAAGTAGATCTCGAAACCTGAACATCCGAACTCAGCCCACCAACTTCGCTGCCTCTTCGCCATTGTGCGTTTCCCCGGCTCTTTAAGGTCTGTGCTCCGCATACAGTCGCTCACTCGAAGCGAGATCTCAAGCATGTCTCAGTCCTTGGAGAAGTATATATACCTCTACCTCGAGGGATGTATCTTCTCGACTCTCTCCCACTTCTTCAAGCATCCTTTCTCAAGCGTCATCATGAAGCACACCCTCTTGAGTCTCAAGGCGCTGGTCGCCACAGTCGCAGCTTCTGTTTTCGTCAACGCTCAACAGCAAAATGCTAGCTCCTCGAATCCTCTCATCACGCGCAACCCGCCCGAGCAGGTCGACGTTTCTCTCAACTTGACCTCGGGTCCCTACGACAACTACCTCTTCCGCAGCAACCTGACGGCAGCCCAGGTCTTGCTCACCAACACCACTGCAGCTAATCCTACGGACAATTCGACCAAGCCAACCCTCAATCGCTTCCTGGTCGCTTTGCCCGCAGGAAACTCGGGCTCCGTAGCCTACTTCTTGCCATACACCAACGGCTCCAACGCAACGGATGCTCAGACCTCGACAGCGTCTCAGGGCCTCACCGTCACTCTTGGTGATGCCGGAATCAAGGGCGCATACGGTCCCAACAACCAGTCCGGAGTCACTGGTGAGCTGCTCTTTTCGCAGCCAGCCACGCTTGGTACTACTCTGCTTGGTTCCATCAGGACGGTTCGAGACTTCACCGAAGGCAATGGCCTCACCCACGAGATCTTCAATTGGACCGTCACCCAAGCCGACAACAAGACCATCTGGCTCACAAAGCCGTGGCTGAACGAAACCATCGTCCGAAATGCCCAGGGCCAAGAGACGGGCAGAGTTCGGTACGCACTCGAGTGGCTCCTCCAAGCCAACAACGGTACCTCGTTCGATGTCGTGCCTTCCAACAATGGCACCTACACGCCTCCTACGGTCCACATCCTGCCCCCACCTGTGCAGACCAACGACACGGCACGAGCCATGTCACAGCCCGGTTCGGTCACCTTCACTGTTCAAGTTAACGAGACAGCCTTGGCTCCGCTTTCTGTCGATACGCTCTTCACCCCAAACACGACGGCGGCGATGCAGCCCGAAGCCCAGAGTCAGTTTTCGTTCATGACATATGCCTCCAAGTTTACCGCCGGTGGATGGAGATTCCTCACCTACTTTGGACGTGACACCATGTTTACCACGCGCATGCTGATGAACAACAAGACAGTCACTCCGTTCGCAGCCGAGTCGGTGCTCGGCGGTGTCATTGAGCGAATCAACATCACCTCGGGCGAGGTCTGCCACGAAGAGACTATCGGAGACTATGCTACGTTTGTCAACATTGGCGAAGGTCAGCCCGAAAAGGGCAACGAGCCCTTCTACGATTACAAAATGAAAGACACCCACTATGTGCTCCTCCCTCAGCTCGCCGACTACCTCCTCAGGTACAACGCCACGAACGCCAACTTTACTGCCAGTCCTGAGGCGCGTCTGTTCCTCTCTCGACGTGCTGTGCTTGCGAACGGCACGAGCTACATCCAACTGCTGCAATCCAACATCGAATACGTGCTCAACTCGTCGGTGGCTTTCGCACAGGACCCTAGCGACTACAAGAACTTGGCTCGCATTGAGGTGGGCGTTCCCGTTGGAAACTGGAGAGACAGTAACGAGGGTCTTGGCTGGGGAGTATACCCCTATGACGTGTCCACCGCTTTGGTTCCGGCGGCATTGTACGCTGTCTCTGACCTCGCCAGATCCGGATTGCTCTCCAATTACACTTCGAGCGCTCTCAACGCGAGCGGAGCGGATCTCGCAGACAAGGCGGCCAGCTACGCCAAGATCTGGGAGGACGAAGCTCCCAAATTCTTCCAGTACAACGTTACTAGTCAACAGGCTCAGCAGAGATTGGAGGGTTATGTGCAGCGCGCCAACCTCTCCACGGCTCTTCTGTACGGTGATGGCTCGCTCAACTCTTCGTTGTCGGTGTCGAACAGCAGCAGCACCGGTAGCGCCAGCGCACCGAACGCCACGAGCACTGGAATGGCACGTCGTGGCGGTAGCATGGATCTTGGCCACAACGCCGAGTTCCCGCTCGCTGCTCGTCAAGGATCCACCGACAACAGCACCCAAGACCAAGCAGGCAACACCACCGTCTACGGCCTCTCTCTGCTCGAAGACGGAGCCGTGGTGCCTGTGCTCCACTCAGACCTCTCGTTCAACTTGCTCTACTCGCGCAACCCTTCGCGCTCGTTGATCGAGGCGGTCATCTCTGCACTCCAGCCTTACCCTCGTGGTCTGCTCACCAACGTCGGAATGCTCGTCGCCAACCCGGCGTACGATCCCAACACGACCAAGACCACCGAGCTGGACCGCACCGCTTACCACGGAACCGTCTCGTGGGGATTCCAGACCAACTTTATGGCTTCTGGTCTGGACCGTATCATCGCATCGTGTGATCCGTCGGCCAATCGAACGCAGGTCTCCAGGTCGGGACTCATTGCTCGACCTGACTGGTGCGATGATCAGCAGCTGGTGTCGGGCTTGACCAATGCACAGGCGATGTTGTGGCAGGCGGTGAACGGTGCGTTTGAGGAGAGGTTTGCAGAGGTTTGGAGTTGGACGTGGAGCAACGAGACCGAGAGGTTCGAGGTGACGCCGTTGGGAGAGATCAGCCCAGAGGGGACCGAGAGCGACGCGGTTCAGCTGTGGAGCTACGGTCTGCTGGGGATTCAGGATCCCACAGCGACGAACGAGACATCTACCTAGAAGATAGAAGAGCTACTTACAGGTATCGACGAGAGACAAGATTAGGCACGAGACAAGAGACCTACATACAGGCAAAGAGACCAGATTAGATTCGAAGATGAAAGACCTGCTTAGAGGCACCCAAAAGAGACAAGATCAGATTCGAAGCGCTCAATGACATACAGTTCATGACCAAAGATTCACAAGATCAGTTGCGGATGTAGTACTTTCCCGAACATTGTTTGTGGTAGTCTGCGACGCCTGATGTTGACGCTCTCGAACCATCGTACGACGCGGCAGTGAGTCTGCCGTGTTTGACAGCATCCGCTGTGCGCACTAATTCCTATCCGAATCCCTGCATCGCTTTTTTTTCTCCGCGTGATTCAAAGGACCAAAATAAACTTTCCAAATGCCGCTCCTTTAGTGCGAACGATGACTCTCGTCAACAGCTGAATGGTGACGTCGACGAACGCCACGGCCGCGTGGTGAACAGCCAAATTTAGCAACTTTTTCCTCCTTCCCACTCGCTCAAAATCAGCCCCGTCGTACGACCTTCCCCTCCTCAAATGGAAGGAACACAGCCATCGAACAAGGCCGCCTTTCTTGAGAGCGTTTTGCTTCGGCATTTCAAGTCTAGACTCCGTCTCGCTCCCTGCCTTTTTCGCTCAAGGGGCGGGAACAGTGCAAGGTAACCCGAGCTTCAGATTGGGCTGCTACCTTTGGGACCTATGATGCAACCCGAGGAAGTGGAATGTCTCACTCCTCCTCCGACCCTTGGCCTTGCGTGCCTTGCAGTAGTGAACGTTCGACAAGTGTGTTCCAGCAGTGAGGGTCGCAATCCCCTCCTCCCTCTGTTTGTCTGCGAAATGAATGAATTGGCCGACCCCCGCTATATTTCAGTTAAGCGAGCTGCCCAGCCTTGATACCCGTTCTGCGAGAATGATTGAGCGCCGATGTCCGTGTAGCAATGGAATTGTGGCTATGACGACACGCAATCCCCGCTTTAGCTTGCCTAGACTCCTCTCCTCTCAGAAGTTCGCAGAGACAGCCGGGACCCTTGATACGTGCTGCTGTAGGTAAGCCGGTCGAGCTTGGCAGCTCATGAAGCCCAACATAGACCTATCAACGTCACAGGAGGTTCGAGAGAAATGTGGCTTGGGAGGTCGCATGAATCGGGCGTTGCGTACGCCCTTCTTCTCCAGGTGTCTCCAATGTGATCACCTAATTTTAGCACTGACAACGGCCAGGTCGGCCACGCCAACGTGTGCAGTGTCTCGACGATGTGGCCTAGTCGTCCCCGAGACCATCCCGTGACGTACTGTCTTCGACAAACGGAGGACGTTTACAGCTCTGGGCCCGTGTCGAGCTTCCGACCCGTTGCTTGGCGCCGTTGAGTTGTTGCTCGTAAAGAGTATCGCCTACTACGTCGAGCTAGCTGGCAAAGCTACTTATACCTTGCGTCTGCGACCCTTGATCACTCCTCCCGACCTTGCCGGCATACAAAAATCCCTTTCCCTCTCTACCGTGTCGAGTTAACGCTGCCTTGACAAAGATGGCTCAACCAGCAATGACCATGGTCGAGACGAGCCCCGCACCCACCGTCACAGCTCCACCCGGCTCTGGCGGTCGTCTCTCCACCGACACTGCCCACTCTCATCGACGTCATCGCCGATTCTCCCTTGGATTCCACCACAAACACCACGACGCGTTTGGAAACCCTCTGCCACGCAGGCGTCACCACTTTGGCAAGCCCAAAATGTCGGGATTCAAAGAGCACTTCATGGCGGGTCTTGGAGAATTCATCGGCACTACCATGTTCCTTTTCCTCGCTGAAGGAGGCGCCAAGACAGCCCAACTCTCGACCTCGGCTGCTCAGAGTCAGACGGCTACACCGCTCAGCAACGAGACGATCATGTTCATCGCTCTGTCGTTCGGAATGTCGCTGCTGGTGACGGCGTGGATGTTCTACCGCGTCACGGGTGGACTGTTCAACCCTGCCATCACGGTTGCGCTGTGGTGGGTGGGTGTGTTGACTTCGCGTCGTGCTGTGGTGCTGTTCTTGTCGCAGATCTTGGGTGGTATCGCCGGTGCCGCGCTTGTGCTGGGTCTGACGCCTACTAACAGCGTCAACCAGGTGACGACGACTTTGCAGCCAGGGATCAACATCACACAAGGGTTCTTGATCGAGATGCTCCTCACATCGATTCTCGTCTTTTCGGTTCTGATGCTTGCTGTCGAGAAGCACCGTGCTACCTACTTGGCACCGGTTGGCATCGGGCTGACTTTGCTGGCAGCCCATCTCTTTGGTGCCGTATGGACTGGCTGTGGTATGAATCCTGCTCGATCGTTCGGTCCTGCCGTGGTAGCTGGCCAGTTCAACTCTGACCACTGGATCTAGTAAGTGCACATTAGACTCTGCGCTTTTCACAAGAAATTGACTGCTGACATGACGATCTCCTCACCTTGCTCACCTTGCAGCTGGATCGCACCCCTTGTCGGAGGATTCCTCGCTGTAGCCTACTTCTCCTTCCTCAAGCTGCTCAAGTACAACTCTGTCGTCATGGACCAAGACTCGGACAAGGAGATCACCGGTCTCAAGCCTATGCACACTCGTCTCTGGAACCTGGTGCGACACGGCCAGAACCCGAGCGCACTCAACCCCGAGAGTTCGACCCACTACGACACGAAGGCCAGGGAGACCTTTGACAAGGAAGAGAAGGCAGCTTTCGAGGAGAGGGAGCAGATGCGAAAAGGCATGATGGACCGACCCGTCTTCGAAGGTCACGCCAACGATGCACTAACGGGCAAGCTGGGTACCAGCAACAACACAGAGGTGCTGTCCACTGGTTCTGGAAGCACTGCCATGCACTCCAACGGCGGTGCTCATGGTCCTATCCTGCCCAAGTGAACGTACCAATACTCGATGTTGAAGTCTATATACCCTAGCTTGCAGTTTCAATGTTCCCGATTCATCAACAAGGCATATACCCGTTGCCCTTTTCTCACACCATGTTTTTGCAATGAACTCAATCAAACACTTCAGAAGCTTGGCGTGTCCAGCGTGTGATGCCTGATATTGCTGACTGATGATTTCGAGATCATGTGCATCCATCCGCCTTGGACGCCTGGCGCCGATGAAGTTGCGTCTCCTCTCTATGACGGCAATTTCGGAGCCCACGTGGGGTTTCCGCTGCAGGATGTGTCTCGCGTCGGAGAACTTCCATACGTCCGATATTTCCAATCTGGCACCCCGCACTTGTTTCCCGACGGTTGTGACTCGTATCTCTCTATTCATCGCACCGAGCGTCATTGCTGGCGCTACTCTGTCACACATATAAGAAAAAGGATCTCTGTTCCAAAACAATGGAGCGCTAGACCTTCATACTCCTCATTATTGCATCCACACGATTCACTTTACACAACGAAGATGTACCTGCGACCGGAGACGATCGTGAGCGACTTTTCCTCGGTCATCAAGTTCATCCAGGCGCATCCACTGGGGTTGCTCACCACGTGCATTCCGCTAGCCGGTCAGTCTACGCTGCAGGCCTCGCACCTGCCGTTCCACTATCTACCTCCGTCGACGCTTCCCGTGGCAGCATCGAGTGCTTCGGCTTCTGTTCAGAGTGTAGAGGGAACCTGGTCCGGGGAGGAGGGTTTGGGGAACTTGCAGTGTCATCTAGCACGAACGAATCCGCAGGCCAAAGCACTTCTCCACGCAGGCGAGGGAGAAGAAGTGCTCATCGTCTTCTCCTCTCCCATCAACAATGCAGGGTACATCTCCCCATCCTGGTACACCACCACCAAACCCGCTACCGGTAAAACCGTCCCCACATGGAACTACGCAGAAGTCCAGGTTTACGGTACCATCCACCAAACCACCCCGCAAACCCTCAGTCAAATCGTACGGACTCTCAGCGATACCCACGAACACAGAATTAAGGATATAACCGGAAAGCACGTGTGGAAAACGGAAGATGCACCGGAAAAGTACATCGAGCTGTTGGAGAGGGCCATTGTCGGGATGGAGATCAGGGTGAGCAAGGTGGGGATGAAGGTCAAGATGAGCAAGGAGAAAGTGGAGGGGGATAGGACGGGGGTGGTGGAGGGGTTGAGGGGGTTAGGTGGGGTAGCGGAGGGGGAGGTCGCGGATGCGGTGGAAAGTGCGGGGCGAATGAAGTAGATGATGAGAAATGTTGATTTCAGGTTCTTCTGACTGTGTAGCTGCGAATGCGGGACTCGATACTCTGTCGGCGCGACATGCTGATGCCCTGAAAGAATTGGTGAGACTACCTGACAGCGTCAGTCTTGCCCTTGAACTCGACCAACACGCGATGCATCCTACTCAGGCTCCCGTGCATCTCGCCTACCTCCTTCACCCTCTCCGCCAGATCAGCATAAGTCAGCGGTCTATCTTCTCCCCCTCCGCCCGATTTGACCATCGAACCGGAACGCCAAGCCAGACCGTCTGGACTCTCGCTCCTCCCCTGCTGCCCCGCTGAGGATCCATCAAGAGAAGAAGCCGCGTTCACACTGGCCCGTTCCCTCGTACCCACAGCACCTTCGTCATCTGAAACCATTTCCCCTTCTTCCGGCGACTCATCCCCGTCCTCCACCTTGACCTTACCGTGTCCTCTAGCGTTCATCGACGTGTTGATCGCAGTCTCCTTGTCCACCTCCCCCATCACTACATCCTCGCCGTCGGCATCCACGACAGAAATCTGGTGTGGAGAAAACAACAAACTCTGCTCCGCCGCTGCTCCATCCCTCGTCGACTGCTCTTCCTTCTCCACAAGCTGCATCTCCCTGTCCAACCTCTCGCTTTCCACTTCAAGCCGATGTCGCACCATCAGATACTCTTCTTGCGTCTTTGCGAAGCGTTGTGCCAGTCGATGCCAGTCCGACTTGGATCGGACGTCCAACCATGGCTCCGACCAGTGAGTCGCACCGGGTCCGACACCTCGGATCGGCCGCTCAGGATGAGACTTGCTCGAAGGGGTCGACGTAGAAGCCTGCGAAGCAGCCTCGAGCGATCTCCGCCCGCTGTCTCTATCCTTGTCCTCTTCATCTTGCCATTCGTCGTACGCTCGCTCCCGTCGACGATCGCGATACTCGCCTCCATGCAGCCTGGTCTCTCGATGTTCTGCAACAGTGTGCAGCTTGTTCGATGTCGGTGCGAACGACGGCATGGATGCTGAGACCGGAATGTTGGCACGAGGTAGGGCAGGTCCGCTTCCAGTGTCTTCTTGACCTGATTCACGCAAGCTTGGACTTTCGTTTGCGTGACCGTTGTTGGCACTGGATGAGGTCGAGGATCGCCGTTCGCGATGGCGGGAGGCCGAATCGGAGGATGTGAAGTCGTCGGTCCGACGACGCTTGCGTGGGAGCAGGTCAGAGGATCCGTCTTGAAGCTCTCGTGTGCTTGTAGGTTTCGAAGGCGAGGGCGAGGAAGTATTCTTGAGACTGTGATCATTCGACCTGTGCTCTAGTGCCGGTCTGTCTGCCCATTCAGGACGGTCAGGAGAAGGTTCGGGCTGTGGGCGTTTGGAGGGTGTAGAGGATGTAAAAACTCGCGACGCAGTAGTGTTGGAGTCGCTTATATTTGACGGCCTGGCTTTCTTCATAGTCACGACCTGCACCGCGGAAGAAGAAGCGGACTTCATGGTCGTCCTTGGCTCTCTGCTGTCCGCCATAGTCTTGCTGTTCGGTGTACTAGAACGTCCATCTTCAACGAGCGCAGTAGGGCGTATTGCCTTGTTAGAGTCCGTTGACGTGGTTCCTGTCAAAGAAGCTGCAGCTGACCGCGGGTTCGTCGCGGACGAAGCAGACTTGCGCTCGTGTCCATCCAGATTACGAGCATTGAAAGACGCTGATGAGCTCTCGGATACCAGCAAGGGTTTGTCCCTGACCGTAGTTGCAGCGGAGGTCAGAGCAGATGAAGTCTTTCGACCTCGATCCTGACCTGTCGAGTCGTGTACCGTCGACTTGTCCAGAGCTTCGCGGCGAGGGGACACAGACGAGATCTTCTCCTCTGCCCTCGATCTCGTTGGTGACCAGGCCGGCGTCTCCGTCGATGATCCGCTGCTATTCGCTTTTGGGGTATTGTTCAGGCTTCCACGCTGTGATGGCGGAGAAATGTGATTAGCTGCTGGTGTCGTACGCCTCTCCGGTGTAGCATGACGCTCAGAAGCAGCGAGAAGACGACTTCCAGCTTTGGTGGCTTTTGCGAGGCGTTGGCGTGTTGTGAGCTTCGGAGTCTTCTTCGAAGCAGCGTCCGATGCGGCTGAAGCAGGAGATGAGAGCTGTCTCGTTCTCTCGGATCGATCCTCGTCGGAAGGAAGCTGCCCATCCTCCTCGATGTTGACGGGATTGTTCTGCCTTCGACTGGTTCCGGAAATCTGCGGCGAGGCGGTGACAGCTCTATCACTTCGTCTGGCTAATGCAGCACTATATGATGCACCTATTTGTCTTTCACGATCCGCCAAAGAAGATCCCGCGTTGGGACGTTCACGACTGACATCGCGGGACAAGCTCGAAGGCGGGAACAAATTTGTCTCGCGCCGCCCAGGAATCCTGTTCAAGCTGCTTGATCTTGATAGTGGCGATGCTACGAGAGATGGCGATCCACTCGAAGCTCTCACACCGGAAAGCGTCTTGCTGACGCCAGATCTCGACGATGCTGCAGGATTAGACGAGTGCGGAGATGTGCCTTGCATCAATGCCCTCCGTCTTTCTTCCTTGCGATGTTCTTCCTCCTCCTTCTGCTGCTTGAGACGCTGCGCGACTGCCGAAACATCGCGCGTAGGTTTGACAGTGAATTTGGTGCTGATGGTCCCTAATCCGTGCAGTGTTGATTCGTCTTTCGAGAGCTTATAAAGTTCGTGCGGTGCCGAAGAAGTAGACGCCACCTCGCGCTGACTCGATGCCCTGGAAGCCTGAGATCCACCGGCAGGCAGAGGTGCGTGGAGGGGGAACTCGGCATCGCCGATGACCAGGAGCGGATCGGTCGGATCAACATCAATTCGGATGCTTCCAAGGCCCCCTTCGGTGCTCGAGCAGGCGGCTGCCAGCTGGCGAAGGGCTGGCTCCGTCAAACGGATCTGAAGTACTTTCGGTGGTGATCCATTTTTTCGTTCAGAGTCGTCCTGAGATGGTGATGACTTGCTGATATCGACCCGATACACCGAGTCGGATCGTAGTGACATGACGAGAGACTCGACTTCCTGGGCTCGTTGACGAGCTTCCGTCAGGCGTGTGGTCTCAGCAGCTGAACGAGATCATAGAGCGATGTCTTTCCGCAATGCGCTGATGGAAGCCCTGTGAAGGCATGCGAGATAGTCGATTACTTGGCGCGGCTACGCCCGGGAAGGTGGACGGGATCTCTGAAGGTAAGAGTGCATCTGACAGGGTCCAGTAACTGGCAGTGACAGGTTCCGAACAGCGTGTCTCAGCCTTGTGACAGCCGTGGCCCGTGAGCGTTCCCACGGTCGAAAGCAGCAGCCGATTGTGTGTGCTACGACCTGACTTCCATGGCCTAACCGCAGAGCGCGACTTGGTCGAAATCGGGCAACGGAGAATCGGAAAATGTAGATCTCGGCAATCCGACACAACACTCAACCCGACCAACATCATACAGACGCGCTTGGGAGACCGCCATCGCATTCGAGACCGCGTTCGAGTCACCACGCTGGCAGGGACAGCAGCAGCAGCAGCAGCAGTGACTGGTCTGTTGTCACACCTCAGACAGGGGTCGGCATCCTCGCGGCTTAACCTTGGCTCCTCCGCGGCCAAGCAGACGGATCGACCGAAGCAAGGGCCAGTCCACGCTGTCGGAGCATCCGACGCGGTGAGTGATCCTACATCATGGCGTTGAGGCGCGGGAAGGACCGCGTATCGGCCACCGGCTCTGAAGAGCTTCAGCTATGGTACGCCGTACGCCAAAACCTTCGCACGCTCGAAAAGATTCGCATCGCATCCGTCGACAAGGCGGCCACTGCGGAAGGACTGCGGACCGACATAGTCTCGCTCATCGAAAAGGGTGACAGGGGCGACGAATACCGCACCAAGCGACGCAAGCTCGACGACGCCTGTCACGATCTCACCAGTCGAACCAAGGATGAATTGGCAGCAATTGACTCGGCGCAGGAGAAGCTCGGTATCCTTGTGGCACTCCGCAGCTCAGCCGATGGTGGTGGTTCACGCGGCTCCACTCCACGCAAAGACCTCGCATCCAAAGTCAAAGCTGGCAATGCCGGCACCCCTACGCCATCAGGTAGGCGATCCAACGTTCCACCCGGACCGTCCAACCTCAGCTCCTCCTCCAGCGCAGGTTCCACCGCGAATCGAGGCAAACGAGAAACCCTCATCGCTCAACACCCTCTCACCCAAGGTCGCAAAGTCGCCGTCCTGCCCAGCAAAACCAACGAAGAATCCGACTGGCTCAAAGCATCCGTCCTCTCTTACACAAAATCCACAAACGAATACACCGTACAGGACGACGATGAACCAGGTCCCGACGGAACCTACAAAGTCGGCATGGACAACATCATCCCGCTTCCCATCAGCTTGCACACCATGCCCGCCTCCGACTATGCACCAGGTTCGCGCGTCCTAGGAATGTACCCAGACACAAGCTGTTTCTACGGCGCAACCGTCAAGTCCGGCGGTCCAGGTCTGACCAGAAACGCAAACCTTGCTAAATTGGTCAAGAAGGAGCCAGAGCTGTTGGAGGCAAAGTACAACCTCGAATTCGACGATGACAATGGAGAGATTCGTCAGGTCCCCGCTTGGCTCGTCGTGCAGAGTCCAGGCATGTGACGTTTCTAGGGGCTGATACCGCGTCCACGACTCTTTGTACTTGTATGCGTCTTGTAATACTATCCCGGTTTCAAGATCAAGCGCTTGCTTGATATATATTGATGTTCGCTGCTGGCTCATTCACGCTTTCCGCGAGAGAATTCGTTCTGAGAAAATGACATGCTTGCTTTGCGGTGAAATGGTTAAACCGTAACTGATTCCAGATTGTTTCTCGACCTAAGTAACTTCAGAAGCCACCTGCTGATACCCCTCCGTTTGCGCGGGTCTCCTCGCCACTCCTCGGCCCAGCCTGAGACCGGAGCTGGACAGGACCGATTCGACTTTGCCCAGCACTTGATAACCCACATCCTTCAGATTAGCGACGACTCGGTCAAACGCCCCTGCATCCGAACGGGCCAGCATCTCCTGCACTTGCGCTGACTCGGTCGGCTCCGCCTCGGTAGCTCCAGTGAGCTCAGCGGGACGCTTGTACCACTTCAAAGTCAACGAGCTGGCCACCACGCTGACGCTGGAAAAGGCCATCGCTGCACCCGCCATCATGGGATGCAGACTCAATCCCCAAGGCAAGAAGATGCCCATGGCCAGCGGAATACCGATCATGTTGTAAACGGTAGCCCAGATAAAGTTGAGCTTGATTTGCCGAAAGATGCGACGCGACAGGTGGATGGACGCGGCGACGTCGAGCAAGCTAGATCGCATCAAAACGATCGAAGCCGCTTCGATGGCGACATCGGATCCTGTGCCTAGTGCGATGCCCAGGTCGGCGGACGCGAGAGCGGGAGAATCGTTGATCCCGTCACCCACCATAGCGATGCCGCCAGACTTGGACTGACCGTTGGCGCGGAAGGGCGAGAACCTGGCTCCGCTTTCGAGGTCGGCACCAGTGGAAGGACGTCGAAGTTGCAGGATGAGTTCTTGCTTGTCTATGGGGCTCATCTCAGCGTAGACGTCGTTCTCCTCGTCCATTCCTAGCTCGCGGGCTAGCGCACGTGCTGTCGCAGATGCGTCGCCAGTCACCATTGCGCACTGAATACCCATTCGTCGCAACGCAGCCAGCGTCTGCTTCGCCTCGGGCTTGAGCGTGTCACGCAGGCTGAGAACGGCTGCCAGAGAGCCGTCCACGCTGGCAAGAACGGCTGTTCGTCCTTGCGACTGTTGCTGCGCAAGCAATTCGCTTGCCTGCGCCCCGAATGCGCTATGGTCGAGAGCATGCTTTTCGCCCGACAAGATGAAGTCGGACGTTCCAACTCGAATGTCATGGACTGTCATCGTCTCCTCTAGCTGTACACGACAGGCGATGCCTTTGCCGGTGAAGCTTTGGAAAGATTCGATGCTGACACCTGAGATCGCCATGTCCTCCTGCTCGGAAGCGGCCGTAGAGCCGGTCTGAAGCTGGCTTGCCGTCCATGAAGCGATGGCGCGTGCAAGTGGATGTTCGGATCGGCTTTCAGCAGCGCCGACGATGCGGATCACCTGACGACGCGAGAGTCCGCCCACAGCGATGGTATCTAGGCCCGCTTGCTCGTTGTTGGGCCAGATGGCCTCGCGCAACGTCAGCTTGCCAAGCGTGAGGGTGCCGGTCTTGTCGAAAAGCATGCGACGGATGGTGGTGGAGGCTTCGAGAGGTCCGCCGCCTTTGATGAGGATGCCATTCTGCGCTCCCACTCCGGTGCCCACCATGACTGCTGTAGGGGTGGACAGGCCGAGCGCACACGGGCACGCGACGACGATGACGCTGATACAGAGCTTCAGGCAGACCATGAACTTGGTCACACCTTGTTGATTGAAGACCGAGGGGAGCATGCGTCCCGAGAGGAGGTGAGCGATCACCATCCACGCGATGAACGTGAGCGCTCCAAGAGCCACCACGGTAGGAACAAAGTAGCCGGCGACTCGGTCGGCGAACGCTTGGATGGGAGCTTTGGACGTTTGCGCCTCGTCGACGAGCTTGACAATCTGGGCGAGGCTCGTGTCCTTGCCTGCACGCTGCACCAGGAAATCAAATGTGCCGGTGCTGTTGACGGTGCCACCGATGACGCTGCTGCCGGTCAGCTTGTGGATCGGAACGGCTTCGCCCGTGACCATGGACTCGTCCACCATCGACTCGCCCCGCACAATGACGCCGTCAGCGACGATCCTTTCTCCCGGCACCACCTTGACGTAGTCGCCACGCTGCACGAGCTCGGACGCGACCTTCTTCTCGACCTTGCCTTCGACTCCGTCTGTGTATATAGTGGCCGAGGTGGGTGTGAGTCCGATCAGACGTGACAACGCCTCGCTGGTCTTTCCTTTTGCCGTATTCTCGAGGAAACGACCGAACGAGACAAAAGTGAAAAGCATGGTGGTGGTGTCGAAGAATGTGGCTGGTTTGGTGCATTGGCCCGGGACCACCATGCCCATCATGCTTGCGCCGCGTGCGGCCATCGAGGCGACTTGCTGTGTCGCTGCTGAAGGCTCGTCCACGCAAAACAGCCTTGCAATCATGGAAAAGACGCTGAAAGTCCACGAGGCTGTAGTGCCGATGACGATGAGGACGTCCATGGTGGCGCTGCCGTGCTTGACTGCCTTCCAGGACGTGCGATAGAAGCGCAGACCGATGCCGAACTGAACCGGGATGGTGAGCGCCAAGCATATAACGTCTTGGAGGTAGAGACCTGATATCGGCTGCCACCACAAAATGCCACGTGTGAATGAGAACTTGGGTAGGACCATGGACAGGAGAAAGACAGGCAATCCCATGGACAGCGAGAAGAGGAAAGCCGAGCGCCATTCCGCAATTTCTTTGATCCTTCCGAGCGATGCGAGCTGCGTTGAATTACGATCGTCGCTCACGACTGCATCAAAGCCGAGATCCTCGATGTGTTCCACCAGGTCGCGGACGCCCAGCTTGCTCGAGTCGTAGTCGATCCGAGCCTTTTCTGTGGAGAGTGATACTGATATTGATTTGACTCCGTCGATTTTTGCGATCTCACGCTCGATGGTGGAAGAGCAAGATGCGCAGGTCATGCCGTAAACGCTGATCTGAGCGGTTTCGAGCGGCGCTATCGAGCCTGTGGGTTGGGAGGAAGCCTCTTTGGATGCCGTCGCGGTGTCTGGATGCTCTGTGCGGATGATGTCGAGGAATGTGGCGTCGAAGCCGGTATCTTCGATCTCTTCGGCCACTTTTGCTGGAGTCCAGATCGAGTCGTCAAAGGTGACCGTTGCCTTTTCCGACAGTAGTGCTACAGAGATGGATTTGATGCCAGGCTGGGAGCGTATCATCCTCTCGATGGTTTCGACGCATGCTCCGCACGTCATTCCTCCGATCTGGAAGGTCGCCGTTACTGTTGAGCCCATGTTTGACGACGATGAGGCGGAGGCCTTGGGTTCGCCGAGGAGCGGTTCCATCGACGACATGGTTCTTGGTTCGTTTAGCTCGAGCGGCGGTGATGTTCCGCTCCAGGTTGATGCTTTATGAGTTGGCTATTACACTCGAATGTCACTGTCGTAGCGCTCGTTGAGCATAGCGATGTAGTGCTGCTCCGAGCGAGTTGACAGCCGTTCCAGATACGGTGTCGATCGCTGCTCTGCGCCGCCGCACTGCGAAGAGTTACCGACGCCCAGGTGTCGGCTATTCCGATGGTCGATCAGTCCCTTTGTCTAGGGGCCGATCCGGTCTTTCGGAGCTCCGTGGCGTCGCTCGGAAGACCGTGACTATATGCTGTGTATTTTGTGACTGCCTTGCGCCGGACGTGATTGTTGGGCGGTCAACAAGGCGCCTATCAAGGCGCGGCAAGCATGCGTCAATCAAGGTGAGAGAATCAGTGTTGGTTGCGATCAATCGTGTTGATTAACCTGGCCTAGAATCACTGCGCTGCTCCTGCGTATCTGATAGCTTGCTCTGTTTCCCTTCGCCAGAATTGCTCGGCTGTAATCTCCGAGCAAGTGCTGAGCACAGGCGCAGAAACGCGCCGAAGCGTCGGCCTGCATCATGCTGAGCCGCGGCGATCTTACATTTTACGGAATAAGATTATTTAACTTAACAGTCAGGTAAACTGGACCGCTTGATACAGTTTGACTGAACTCGATGGACGTCGCCTGGGCAGCCACTATCAAGGTATACCGTGTGCTATTGGACGCTAGAAGACGGGTTTACTCAAACGAGAAAACAAAGTGAGATTCTTCTCGCACGGTTGTAGATCCTCTCGTCGCGGTGTGGGAAGGGATGCGGACGGGATGCGGCGGTCCGAAAAGGACCGAGAGAAGGGCACGGTCTGGGACCGCGGAGTTCTGGATCAGATGTGGGAGAAAAAAGTTCTGTTTCTGGTTCCAAGAACAAAATCATGGTAATCGACATGCTGTCAGGCAAGACGTCCGACAGTTTAGTGTTTTAAGCTCATTTCCGAACTCAGATGTGAGACAGGTACGGCACAACTCGTGGTTTCTCTCGTTCTTGCTAGCCAACCATCAGCTTTCCTCTGAGATGGACCTAGATTTGGGGAGCGCTCAGGAACACCGCGCCGAGATGAGGGAATCGAGACGAGGGAATCACTTCGGGCTTCTAGACCCCTCTTCTGTTTAGCCTGGCCGAGACCAAGACACCGCATGGCAGATGCAGTCGACACGAAAAAACCTAGGGACAGCTCCCGGCCTATTTGCCGGACGGTTGACCTCAAAGTCGGCGACGAATGTGGATCAAGGACCGAACAGATCCACAGGTTTTGTTTCGTCGTGCGGTCAGTCGAACTTGTTGACAAACTCTCGCGTGCGCTGCTTTGATGGCAGCGGTACACTCTGCGTTGTTCAAAGTTCATGCTCGATTCCTATAAGAGCGCACAGACGAGGACGTCTTTCGTGGACCCGAAATAGTTTGCATCCTTTTTGCTGGGTCAGTGTGACAGAACTACCTTGTACTGCTGCTCGATCTTGGCGAGCCTCGTTTAGATCTCGCTTGGTTGAAATTTTTCGTCCGCTCAACGTGACGGTCCTTGCCCCTCGACTCCCGGTAAATCTTTACCTTGCTGCTCTGCTTTGTAATGTCGAAGGAGTGCTAGGACGTCACGATCGCATGACAGTCATGAATTTGAGCTTCAAAGACGTTGAGGTCGGTGTTGAGAGACCCCGGGCTAGTTGAGCCTGTTGCCCCCATGTTTGGGGCACAGAAGCATCGACTGAGGTCGGCTCATCTCGAGCCCTGGTCGGTGGCGTTTATTGTTAGCGGCTGCGGTACCGCGAGCACGGCCGTCGCTCGCGTGGCCATCCTGCCCAAAAAAAGGGAAGAAAAATCTTTAATCACTTTTTTCATGCTTTGATGCAGCCAAGCCTTGGGCTTTCCCATGCCAAGTCTACTAGCCTGTGATTGTCGCGTCGTCTCGACACGGATGAATCACTGCCATTTCCGACACGATCCCGACGCAGGACCGAGTCTCTTGTCTTGATCGTCCAGAAACTGTCTCAGGGAACAACCTTCGAGCGCTCTAGGAAAAGTGACTCCGACTCGTCTTGTGGCTCGTGTCGGCGCTGTGCGTGCTCAAAGGCAATCTTCGAAAGGGCAAAAATGCCGGTGCTATCGAAGACCGGTGCCGGTGCTGAGCAGCGGCCCTGGACCGACGGTCAGAGATGCATGTTTGTGGGACAGAAAATTGCCGACAACACCAAGGGTGACTGTGTAGGAGCAGCGGCCACAGCCAATTCATGCCGCGGCTATCTGGCGGAGTGCAAAAACACGATCAGATCTCCGGCACAAGTCCGGCAACGTTCTGCGGGTCAGCCCCCACCGGCCATTCTCCAATCAAAGATTCCCATGAGGAGAACCCATGCCAAGCTGGACTCGTTGACCGTCCGCGATACGCAGCAATGCTCCTGTATGCGTCCGGAAACCAAACATCTCGAGGATGGAGGTGGTATGGTGAATCCATGTACAATGGTACAGCGACACAATGGGAAATCCGAGAGAAAAAGTTCTGCCTATTTTTTGATGCAACCAGCAAGCCGCAAAAGTTCTATTATTAAAAGCTTTTTTTTTTTTTCTAAAGATCAAGACATGATCAGCTAACCTGAACTGGCCAATCTCCGCTGCGTCTTTTGATCGAAATTAAATCTGGAAAGTGGTCGACCAATTTAGGCGAAGATCTCATCCGTGGAACACGGCGGACATGCAGCCGCTGCTGACGTTGACCGACGTGTCATGGGTGATGATATGCGCGTTCGCTCCATCTTCCCGCCCGAACAAGCTCCGACACTTTTTCTTATGTTTCTTCCTCCGCCATGGCTGTCTAACTCCGGCGAGCTTCCAACTCGTCGCTTTCGGATGACTCGTGGCGGTTGACTCGGTTTCTTCCTCTCGGATTCGCTTTCTCCGTCCCTGGTCCACATGCCGGCATCTGTTGAGCCTGCACTGTACGCTGTACCCTGCGGCTGTTCATGCTTGCTTTGAAGAAAAAGGGTTGCGTACCCGGTACCATGTGGCTCCCTTGCTACGACTCCCGCTGGGCAGACTGACAGACTTACTTAAACCTCTACCTTCTTTCATGAACCCTTCCGTAGACCCTGCCCCCTTCGCAGCCTAGATCACGTTCTCTCCCATATCCCCGTCGTGCCATCATTGCTACCGTCTTCCATCTTGTCAACGCAACATTTCGGTCTGAACAGCCTCGGAATCTCTCAGGACCACCTTCAACAACCTGCTATGTGTCTTCGCCTCATAGACCTTTTTCCCATAGACGGCAAGAACACAACGGATCACACATAGACGACTATCATTCTTCGTCACTACATCGCGTGACTGCACACCACTTTCTACGCATTCTCAGCGCCAAGCTTGTCCGCATGAAGCTCGATCACACGCCCTTTGGCGCACTGCGCGAAAAGGGTCGCTCACTTCGCCGCAAGGGCGACCGCACACGTATCCAAGCCTCGTCCACCGTTGCCTGCGACGGATCGCTGACATCACCTAAGCTCTCTCAGCACCGCCTATCGCACGAGGACTTGCCAGCGTCGTCGCGCACATCCAGTGTCGAGCATGTTGGTCACCACAACCATCACCTGCACCATCACGAGGACTTTTCGAACAACAGTCCGGTTCTTCTGCGCGGCGACAAGGAGCTGCACGATCCCAATTTCGTTCGCCACAATTGGGAGATGATGTCGGGCGATTCGATCTTCCCGGACAACCAGCTTCACATCGGACGCAGCGCATCGCCCAGGCTTACGAGCCGACGTAGCACTCTTTCATCCCGCACAAGCTCGCGTCCATCTTCTCGTTCGGGCAGCGAAACGGGCGGTCACCACACGCCCACCTTTGGCCTCGGTGTCGGCGCCTTTTCGGGCCTCTCGAGCTACGCCCAAGGCGGATCGATGGGTCGTGCCAGCGGTGCTCGCGCCTCGTCTTCCAACCGCGGGCTGCAGGTTGAAGGCTCCATCCTGCGTGATGAGGAGGCCATCCTTGATAGCGACGATGGCAGCAGCGACGATGACGACGACGACGACTACCAAGACGAAAGGTACTCTTCTCATCATCTCCAGCTGCCTTCCTCGCGACGCAGCAGTCCTTCGTCGGGACAAGTCTCACTCCCACCACGATCACCCCTGTCGAGCGCCCCCGTCTCGCCTCTCCTCTCGCATGCTCTCGAGCAGCAACAGGCGGCCGCATTCCAGCGTCGTCGCCACTGGACCGTTGCAGAGGGTAGCAAGGCCTCGAATGGAGCCCGTCTCCACGTCATGTCCACACAGATGCCTCGAGGCGCTGCTGCCGCCACTCTCAGCTTCTCTCAACCTGCATAATCTTGCTTTCTGTCTTTGTCTCTCCTGCATCCTCTCGTACTCTATCGCATCGCATTGTCTTGTACTGTTATTCTTGTATCAACAGTCAGTTGTACCAACATCAGCTTTCAATCATACCTCTTGGCATGGATTATGCCACTAGTTTGCACCAGTCTGCCTCCAGATGTATTGCCGCACCTCTCAAGGGTTCAGGCTTTGAAATCAGCCTGAAATACGATGGATCGGGTGGGGTAAATATCCTCGATCGTCAGTAAAAGCCATCTTTTGAACGTGAGAGTCGAGAGACCGGCAGTCTGCTGTGAGAAAAAGTTTAACCGTGTGTGACCACCCTTTCGAAGAACAGCCGAAATCGGTAAGCCCGCGTCCCAGATTCACTCTCCGTCGCGACGAGCATCGTCATCACTGAAAGAACAATGGTCATTGTTTCGACGATCTCCCCTGTCTTACCGTGGGGTACTTTGGTTGGTCAGCGACGTCGAGTTTCTCGATGCAGACAGCCATCGGTGGAGAAGCGCTCGATGACAATCCTTCGCCAACTTCAGCTAGTCGACGATCTTGTTCGCCCTTCGGAAACTGTGCATGGGGGTTCTTTCGCCACCGATCCGACAGGAAGCTGTTTCAATGCGCGTTGTCGATCTGGTGGCGTGTCGGGTGTCTTCGACAAGGTCGATTGATAAATGACCGATGTATTCCGCTGAACAAAGACCAAGTGGCGAGCGAGCCGATCGGTCATACCTCTTCCACATCAGGTCAGGGTGCAGATAGGAACGCCGATGATCGCGAGCTCGCGAATAGCAAAATAGTACAGCCGAGGCTATCATACCGCCCGCGGTAACCTGGTAAAGTAGCCACTCTATTTGTCGCGGACTCCGGCACCTCGTCGTCTTGGCATTCGATGGGATTTTCGTCGTGCCCGCACACAGAAGCCAGGGCCCTGAAATGATTCTCAGTCCGGATGACGCATGCTTGCATCTAATGCTCCGCCACGCGAATTCACGACCCTGTATAGCGCAGGGTTGCCCTTGAGTGTGACACCAAGAGACGCGACATGCTGACCAAGTTGCGAGAGGTTTACTGGTCGACGCTTTGTGAGTGGGACGCCACCAAGGAATTGTGGCTGAAGGACAGCTTCACGCGAGTGGCCTTGGCTGTCAAGCCTGCCAAGTCCCGTTCTCCCTCATGCCTGCACATCAGTGGTCGACTGTTTCCTCCTTGAGCCAATCGCTATCGATGGCAGAGACTCACACGACATCGCGAGTTCTCTTTCATCTGCGGAACGACCCGATCTTGGCAATCGCGTTCCGACTCCGCTGCAGTCACAGTGAGGGGAGATGGGGCGGGTGCGGCGGGTTGGCGGGTGTATGCGTGCGCCGCGAACCTGCATGATTTCTGCTCCAAGTGCATACAGCCCCGCCAGGCGAACCGCCCGTCTCGACTGTTTTCTCTTTTGCCTGTCAAAAAGTGAATAAGCGGCCGCTCAGACTGTGGTGGATTTTCCCATGACATGCCTCTCGATCTGCTCTTTACAATCGAGAAGATTGCGTGGGAAGCAGACGACAGGAGGAAGGAGTGTTGGTCTGAGTCAGCGAACATCACACTTCTGCACAGCGCACAGCAGTGTTGTGGCGGTCGTTGTGGCACCACCCCTCGTCAAATGGTCACAGCGCATTGACGCCCGTGGGGAAGACTGGGAGGCTGCCTCAACGTTTTGTGTTGAACATCGCAGACTGACAGCGAGAGTGGACACGCGCAATGTCCCGATGCGCTGAAGCCGGGGCGCCGAGCAGAGTTCGGAAGCTAGTATGACACTGCATCACCCTGTGCGCTGAGGAGGCGTAACGTTCTGCAACGAAGCAACGGCTGACACAGCAGTCACCGACTGTACGTGCGCTCAAGGGTGTCGTCGCGTGGGGCGCAGCCGCTGCAAGCGCTTTCGGAAGCCGTGCCGAACTTTTCCACCGTCACAGTGATGATAGCGATCCTAGCGTCGGACTCTCCAGAACAATGCGCTCTCGCTCTGCTGAACAAACTTCTCTTCCAGCTCTGCAGGCTCGAGGGCTCCCTCTCCAACCACATGAACCGTCGTTCTGCCTCACCCCTCATCGGGCTTCCGACCTTCGACGAGCATCAATCTGTTACCTCTCCGGCAACATTAGCTGCGCCGGCCTCTCGCTCACTCATACGCCAGCAATGCTTGCATAAGAGGCTGACTCCTTTTCGGTCGTTCCCCGCTGCGGCCTCGGCACAGCATCTATTCTTCAAGACTCAGCAAGTTCTATCTGGCGCACACGCCGTTGGCCGACAGAGAGCCTCAGCGATTAGTCGCCCTACGTAGCCGTCCGCTGGTCGTGTTCGAACAAGCCTTCTCGCAACTTCGGCCGCCCTGCTCTGCCTTGTGTTTCACTGGCACCTTCGCTACCTTGCCGCGCTCGCTTCCCACTCTGCGGACCCCGCCTGCTCCTTCTATCAGCTGCACGCCCGACGACTCGGACTCATTGCTCGTTCGACGTCAGACTCTGTCGGCGTGCTTCGTCTCCACCTGCGGTACACAACCTTGCTCCGCCGAGGCCGCGCGAAGGAGCAGCCACTACAGCGCCACCTCCGTGCCGGTCCTCTTGGCACTTAGCTGCTCACTTACTCGCTGCTGATCACTCATCCCCAAGTGTATGCTGGTCTGCCAGCCTTTGGGCTTCAGCGAGAAGGCGCTTTCATTTCTTCGACCTACCCCGCACTTGCGGCCTCGATCTGCTTGGCCGGTCGCTGCAGGATCGTTCCGGTTTCTTCCACCGATTTCCAACACAAGATCTCCTGCTGGAATCGTCTCTGTCGGAGAGACTGTGAAAAAGGTCTTTGCTCTGTCCGTCCCCAACGCCAAGCTCTGCTTGTCGACGCTGTTGGGCTTTCTCGACCTGGTCAGGCCGCCGTCTTCCGGCTGAGCTTCTGAGCTCGACGCTTGTTGCTCTTGACTGCAACCCTATGAGACCGCGTCGGCTTGCATCTTCTTGCATTCGGGTTTCGTTTACCGAGGCACCCTCGTTGTGACAGCGGGGTTCGCATTGCGCACTTCGCTTCTTGGCACCCCGCCCTTTGCCGATATCGACATCAAGCTCGGTGGCTCGTCGGCAGCGTTCTAACGAGCTGTCCAGCGCCCACGTTGCCTGCTTGCCACCCTCCATCGTCAAATCGCATCGTTAAGAAGCGGGTCCATCGCTTCCCAACAGTCGACGGTGCCGCGACAGCCGCTCGACCGGGTTGTCTCAAGGTGATCGCCGACGCCATTAACGGATTACCAAAGCTCTTGGCGCCTACGATTAGTCTCTGGTCTCGACAAAGTCGCTACTGAAAAAGTGTCGACCGCGACTTGCACAACCAACCACGTCGCACTGCAACGTCGTCTATCTCTGCTTTGGTTGGGGTGAAAGCTCGCCGTGTACAACAAGGGCGTCGCCAAGAGTACCTTCATTTCGCAGGCATCAGGCCGCTCGAAGTATTTAAGCGACAGGTCTACAAGCAGCCTCTTTTGCATCCCGCATCGTTGTGCTCTCACATCGCTCAAGGTACGAACATTTCTGCATACTTCGTAGCCGTACACACATAAAATCTATCAATCTTTTCCTTCATGCAAAGAGACTTGGCCATGATGATGCCCGACTTTGTCCGCCGCGGACGATCTACCACCTCTAATCCCGACAACATCGGCAAGTCTCACGGGTCTACGCGTAGGAAGAGCAATCCAACCTGCAGTCGGAAGCCATCTCGGACCAGTTCTCAGCTCGACGATTGGAGCGATGGCTTCACGGGGTTCGTCGATCTCGACCGGAGAATGCGCGAGCTGGCCATGTCAGAGCAGGGCTTCCCCGCATTTGGCGTCGGCGATCACTCCGATGTGTACGAGCCCTTCCCTCGATCCCCCTCTTCTTGGTCGGATCGTGTGACAGATCGTCGACGCAGTTCATCGGATTCCACACCAAGCAGCATTTCGCAACTCTACATGGCGACTGACCCGACCAATCCGTCTCTGACGCCGTCTTTCAGCTCGACGACCGCGACCTCACGGTTCTCGCAAGACTCTTTTGGCCATTTTCCATCATCCTGGTCAAAGCGTGCATCTGTGACAGCCAGTAACGTCGACTCTTTGGAGAGTGTACATAGCCCACTGCGACTCGCGCCTCTCCCTGCCTGTCCTTCGGCCTTTGGCAATTTTCGGCTGACGGACGCTGCTGCGGCGTCAAAGTCGAAGCGATTTGGCAGCAACTTGTCACCGTCATCTTGGTCGAGTCAGGACGATTGCGAACCGCGAACTCCACTCGCTGCAGGTCCAGGCTCCTCGAAGCACGAGCAATACGAACCTCTCACCCCCGGCATAGCAGCAGCCGCCACGTGGGTCGATCCTTCCGCATTCAGCTATTTCCCTGCCGGTCTCGGTAGCAGTGACAGCAGCAAGCTCAAGACACGCTCTCTGCGAAAGAAAGCGACTCGAGCTCCTCTGCCACGCCTGATCTCGGGCGAAGTGGTGTCGTCCGCCATCGATCTGACTGAATCACCTGTTTCAACGCATTCGTGGCATCAGCTCAAGCATTCCGCGTCGGCTCCCGCGAATGACCGTTCCGATCGCAAGGACGCATCATCGTCCAGCACACACGCTTTCAAGAGGTCCGCACAGTCACTCGCTCTGAACTTGCGACGCAAGATCAACCGCGCGAAACGCAACGTCCATCGTTCGGGCCAGGATGTTGCTCCACGCGCAACATGGTCTTAGAGGAAGTTCGGGGAGAGGCGTTCGTCTCCTTTTCGACGGTCATTCAGCAGCGGTGTTTCCTCGAGTCCAAAATAAGTCCCGAAAACTCGATCTTGGAGCTTTTGGTAGTTCCGCAATGGTTTCGAAAGGTTTATATGTATCAGTATCGTACGTTTGGCTCTGTTTTCGCTCGCAATGATGTCGTGTGTGACTTGCGAGGTTTGTCTATGATTGCATGGATGTTTTGCAAAATTCGTCTATGATTGCATGAGGTGAAGAACTTGTCGAGCCGGTAAGTGAGGATGAGTTAGAAGAAGAGTTTAGTAACCGAGTAAGGAGCGTCTAAGACGTTTTGTATCGGCTCTTCTTTGATTTCGAAATTCGGCGATAGATCTCCATCCCTCGTGGGTGGCTGTGGTGGGGGTATCTTCCTGAGTGACGGTTGTAAACTCGTCGGGACCTGGGGGGCGGAGGTGGGTGGGGAGGAGGGAGAGGAGGGCGTTTTGGTAGGCTGTGTCTGAGGGGTAGCCTAGGTCGGAAGTTTTGTTACCCGAGTCGCTGGGAGTCGAGGTAGTGGACGACCATTTGAGCGGGTCTGTGGTGGGGATTGTGGGGTCGAGGCGCGGGAGGGCGGTAGAGTTGGGTGCACGGGGGAGGTCCGATGACCAGGCGGCGGAGACGATCCGCGATTGGACGTGCGTCAGCGGCATGGGTACGATTCGGATGGGAGCACCGAGGATGCAGAGCGAGGGATCGGGGGCGTAGAACAGCGACCAGTCGTCGAGGTTGGTCAGGTACGGCGATGTGCGAGTTGGTGGTGTGTACGGATCTGCTATCTCTTCCTCCACAGCGGAGGGGGGATGGGGTGGAATGAGCGGATGTGTATCGAACGGCGCCAACGTCTGATCCAGATACGGAAAGTCGTATGAATAGCCCGTTCCAAAAACTATCACATCCACATCTTCCCGCGTCTCCCCACCTTCGAACACAATCCTCCCCTCCTCATCTACATGACTGACGCGCGGTACAACGCTGATCCTTCTCGCCCAGTGCGGCGCCTCACCCGACCGCGGATCAAAGTCCAACGGAGGAGCCTTGTCCACGTCCTCGTACGAATGAAGCACTTTTCCGCTCTGCTCTCCTGCCTCGCACGCATCGATGAACTCCTTCGTCTCGGATTGCCCCTCGGGCAGGGTTCGCAGGATGTACCCAACGAGCTCCCTGGCGATATCCGACCCGGAACTCGAATTGCCCACTACCAAAACCGTTTTGCCCTTGAATGGAATAGGCGAGCGATACCACGCGCTGTGCAGGACTTCACCTTTGAAGCTGTGCAGCCCAGCGACACGCGGGATGGACGGCGTGTTGCACCGACCGCTGGCGATGACGATGTTGTCGAAACTTTCTTCCCTCTTCTCGCCGGTGATGATGTCGATCGAAGTGAGGGACCATTTGCTGCCCCACCCGATCCTTTCCTTTGCTTCCGCCGCATCGTGGTGTGTTCTTACCAGCGAGGAAACCGCCGTGTTCAACCGGATCTCTGCCTTTCCCGCAGCATCGCGTACCGTCTCGTTTCCGAACTCCAAAATGTACTCTTCGACAGTCTTGCGGTCCGGGAACAACGCCGTACCTCTCGCATACGGGAACGATCGATACGCCATCACATCACAGGGTAGATTCGTCCTCAACCCATCGTACATCGCCCCCGGTGGTCGGAACCTCCCTTCCTCAGCACCATCCTTCTTCCCACCCGACCAGAGTGGGTAGGCTCGACCATGGCGATCGTACCGGACAACGCAAGGCCCCGGATCGGCGTCGTACGCCCAGATGCCAGAGTGCGTGGAACGTCGCTCGAACAGTGTGATGTGGCAGTGAGGTGAGACGGAGAGGAGTTGGGAGAGGGAGGAGAGGCCGGAGGGTCCGCCACCGATGATGGCGATTCGGCGAGGTGGGGTGGTGGAGGTGGCCATGCTGAGGAGTGAGGTGGTTGCGCGACGGATCGGCGAAGCCATGCAGGAGTCGATTTCAAGGTTGAGCAATAGGGAAGGATGAGGGTGACCGAGGAGGAGATCGGTCTCAGCGGAGTAGTGAAGAATGGTGAGAAGGTAGGAAGACAGGTCCATGGGCACAATCACGTCAGAAGATCTGGGAAAATGCAAGCAAGGGTCTCGCTACAACCGTGTGGAGGCGGCTTTTACGTTCGACTTATATCGCCGAGCAGCATTTCCGCTGCCACTTCATCTTCATCCTTCACAATTCACGAGACACACTCAAATCTCCTTCAATCACAGCGTTGATCAACTATCTGCTTTCATTTCTAGCGCACATCGGAACTGCCCGACGTGTCCAGGCTCAGTTGAAAACGACAGTCTTTGCGCCATTCAACAGCACCCTCCTCTCCGCAGTCCACTTGACGGCTCTCGCCAACACCCTCGCCTCTACATCCGAGCCGGCCTGGACCAGATCCGCGGGCGTCATGGCGTGATCCACCCTCTCCACCGCCTGCTCGATGATGGGGCCTTCATCCAAATCCGCCGTGACGAAATGCGCGGTGGCACCGATCAACTTGACACCTCTCTCAAACGCCTGATGGTACGGCTTGGCTCCCTTGAAGCTGGGCAGGAACGAATGGTGGATGTTGATGATCCTACCGCTGAAGAGACTGCACAGCTGCGGTGAGAGGATCTGCATGTATCGGGCCAGGACGATCATGTCGATGTCGTACTGTTTGGCGAGCTTGACCATTTCGGCTTCCTGCCACTCCTTTGTCTTGCCTTCGGCTGCGTTGATGGGGAGGTGGTAGAAGGGGATGCCGTTTGCCTTGGCGAGGGGCTCGTAATCGGCGTGGTTGGAGATGATGAGGGGCACGGTGATAGGGAGCGTGTTGTTGGAGAGACGGAAGAGGAGGTCGTTGAGACAGTGTCCGATCTTGCTGACCATGATGAGCGTACGCGGCTTTTCCTCGGCGCCGAAGATCTTGACAGAGACCTCGGCTTCTTTGGCGAACTCGTCGTCGAATTCAGATTTGACCTTGGCGAGGAAAGCGGATCGCTGTTGGGCGTAGTCCGGTGCACGGGGGTCGGGATGAGAGCCGTTTTCGGGTAGAGGTTCGGAAGCATGGACGCGCATGAAGAAGGTACCCGTGGTGGGGTCACCGAACTGAGCAGAGTCCATGATGTTCATGTTGCGACGTGCGAGGAAGCCAGAGATTCGGTGGACGATGCCGGGACCATCGGGACCAGAGAGCGTGAGGATGATCGAGGGAGGTGGGAGAGCTGAGGCGGGCTGCTTAGGACGGATCTTGGTAGGCAAGATGGTCTGATGGGATGCGCTAGCAGCGGTTGCGGAGGGGGCCGACATGTTTTCGAGATCAGCGAGCGAACGAAGTCCTCGAGTGGTGATGGTTGAGCGAAGTGGAGTGCCGAGAGCTCGACGGTAGCAAGAGGTGGATTGACGGAGAGCGGTGCGAGATGACACGAATGCAGATGAAGCGAGCTTCGATCCGACGAGGTTGAACATGGAATGCGGGACGTTGCCTTGAAGGAGGGGATGATGATGGTCGAGAAGGAAGGCCACGCTGGCAAGGGAATATGAGAACAACACGCTTCCATCTCGTCTTTCTTCTCAGCGCTTCGGGTATTAACTTTTTCTTTTTCGATCTTCGCTACGCCCACGCTGGCTTTCCACGACAGCTCGACAAACCGAAAATTGATTAGATTTGATCATCTAAATCCATCACAATCAAAATGCAGAGCGCCTGCAGGCTGATGGAGTCGGGCCTTTTGACAGCCAACCAAAAATCGCCCTCTGCAGGTATTCCCGAGTCATCCCCGCCCAGATCTCTCCTTACTGGTCGGCCGTTCCGGTTTAGTTGCCCGCACATCCACACTCGCGATCTTGTCCGGTCGGTAGGTCCGATGCAATGCCACCACGAATCGCTGAATACCAGTCGGGTTGCTTCCGACATCTCAATATGTGCCTTCGACGTCGGCGAAAAAGTCCGAAAATGCGAGAGGAGCATACGACTGATTAGTCACGATTGCAAATCAAGATAGCGGAAGTGTTGCTCCACATGTGTCCCGCCAAAAGCACGAACCTCGTTGCACTTCATCGTCTGCACCCTCGCACTTCTACACTGCCACCAGTCCTGCGATTCCGAGGCCGACTCGCACCGCACACTCTGTTGCGCTGCCTGTAACCGGCACCAGCATCCATTCATATCCCACTCACCTATCAGACATTTACCTCCGGACCATCAGCAAGACCTCGAAGTTGTGCACTCTCTCCAAAATGAAGCGCAAAGTCCTCCTCATGGGTCAATCCGGATGCGGGAAAACCTCCATGCGCTCCCTCATCTTCTCCTCCTACCGCGCCGCCGACACGCGTCGACTCGGCTCCACCCTCGACGTCGAACACTCGCACGTCCGCTTCCTCGGCAACCTCGTCCTCAACCTCTGGGACTGCGGCGGACAACAGTCCTACATGGACTCGTACCTCGACAAGCAGCGTTCCCAGGTCTTTTCCACCGTCGGCGTACTCATCTACGTCTTCGACCTCGTAGCCGCTGCGGAGGGAGGCGAGGAAGGCCAGACAGAGTGGGAAAGGGATCTGAGGTACTACAAGGATTGCGTGAGTGCGTTGTACCAGTACAGTCCGGATGCGCAGGTGTTTTGTCTGCTGCACAAGATGGATTTGATCGATGCGACGAGAAGAGCAGGGGTGTATTCGAGCCGTGTGAAGGAGTTAAGGAGGAAGTCGAGGGAGGTGGCACAGGCAGCGGGCGGGAAGGGCGAGGGTTTCAGGGTCAATTGTTTCGCGACCAGCATATGGGATGAATCCTTGTACAGAGCTTGGAGTAGGATCGTCCAGACACAGATCCCAGCTCTCGGAGTATTGGAGAGACACTTGCAGTTGTTGGCGGATACATGCTCTGCAAGCGAAGTGGTGGTGTTCGAAAGGACGACGTTCCTAGTCATCGCAAAAGCACTAGGTAGCAGTTGCAAAGAATCTTCCTCATCTCCACAACGTCTCACCGGTTTCCACTACGACGAAGAAGAAGAAGGCATGGAAGGCTTCCGCGACACCCAACGCTCCTCTCTCACCTCCAACTCCTCCGGCTTCTTCAACCCCTCCGACTCGCACTTCTCCTTCACCTCTTCCACAACCACCACCAAACCTTCCGCACAATCCACGACGCTCGACCCAGAACGCTTCGAAAAAGTCTCGGAACTCATCAAGAACTTCAAACTCTCCTGCCAGAAGCTGCCCGCCAAAACAGCCCAGTGCGAATTCCAAGCCGTCGAACTCCGAACGCCCACCTTCTCGGCCTACATCGACAGCCTCACCTCCAACACCTACATCATGATCCTCGTCACCGATCCGAGCATCCATTTGGCGAGTGTAAAGCTCAACGTCCAGTTGGCAAGGGATCATTTCGAACGGCTGCAGGCGATCAACCTCAGATCGTAGCTGGAAGGAAAAAGAGTCCGTGTATCAGGTCAGATAAGCAGCATCGCATTGTAATACCCCAGCCTGCTTGGCACTTGAAACCCGTCACAGAACAGTGAGTGGACGTCGATGAGTGGGTGGTCTGCCATTACAAGGACGCACGATCCACACCAGGATGCAGCATCTTAAGCTGTATCAGTCTCGCTTGAGAATCTGCACTTTGGCCGGCTGAGCAGGAGCACCTGTGTTTGATGTAGTAGCGCTTTTCTCTTTATCCTTCGCCGCGCCATTCTTTCGCGGTGGTTTATTCTTTGCCTTCGCCTTAGATTCTCCTCCTCCACCGCCGCCTTGAGGGTCGGTTGTCTTGCCGGGGGCACCTGCAGCCGCAGCCACAACTCCGGGCTTCGTGTCGGGTTTCTTAGAAACCTTGCTTGTCGAAGGCTGTTTTGCCGTTGAACCTTGCGCTGCATTTGGTGGTGTATCGGCAGCGTCGGCGGCCTTGCCCTTGCGCTTCTTGTTTTTATCCTTCTTGAGCGGCTTCTCCTGCGCTCCTCCTTGTTCGCCTTTGGCACCATCTCCGACTCCAGGAGCAGCTCTGGCCTTCTCCTTTGCCTTTGCCTTTTCCTTCTTCTTGTTCTTCTTCGCCTTTGCCTTTTCCTCTGCTCGCGCAGCAGCACTTGAACCAGCAGCCGCCCCGCTCGTGTTTCCTGCCGCAACAGCCTTCGCTTTGGCCTTCTCCATCTTCTTGGCCTTTTTGATCGCAGCCGCCGACTCGAGCTTTGCCATCTTGACCGCTCTCAGGTGTAGCAAGAGCGGAGTTGCTTTGCCCGCTGCCAGCTTCGCTTCCTTCTCCTTCTCTTTGCCCTTGGGGTCGTGCAGCGAAGCTAACAGGTCGCCTTCGGAGCGCTTGACATCATCGCCTGCGTTGCCGAGCCTCTCAAGGAAGGATTGGTAATCGGCATCCTTTTCGATCGTGCCTTGCTTCGGGTCGGGTTTCGCCTTGCGTCCACGTTGGACGGACGCCGCTGGGGGCAAGACGACTTTCTGGTAAGGGGCAAATTCGACTATGGCAACGGATTCTTTGCCTTTGCTGTCACGGAAAATGTGACCGTCAAAGGCCTTGTGAAACTGGACGAGAGACTGCGGGTCGAGAAACCGGACGTATGCTCGAGCGTGTTTGCTCTGCTTGTTGGCGTCTGTTTTGAGCTTGCCTGCGACGAACTTCTTGAAGTCGACTGTGGCGGCTGTAGAGGCTGGTGGAGCTGGTGACGTTGTTTCTGAGCCCGCCTGAGCCGGTGTATCAGCAGCTGTACTAGCATCAAGCGCTTGGCAGTCCTTTGCATCGCGGATCCAGGGAGACACAGCTTTCCACAAGATCTCCTCGGGCAAATTTGGTGGCAGTCGACGAATCACTACCTTGCTCTTGAACGAAGACGGAGCCTGCCCTGGGCGAGGCATCTGAGCTTTGGGTGCATCCTTCTTGGGCTGCTTCTTGGGTTGTTTTGCGGCGTTGTCCGACGCTGATGTGGTGTTTGTTGGCTTTGAAGGCTGAGCCCCATCGGCGTTTGATGCCGCGACAGCCCTGTCTTCAGCGAAAGAGACTTTGTGCGCCTTCTGAGCTCGATTTTGCGCAGCACGCTCCTTGTTCTGCTGTGCTTTGGCTCGATTGTCGACCGCCTTGTCCTGCTGCTGGGCCTTGGTGGTCTGTTGTGTCCTGACCTTCTGACTCGGATCGGTGGCGGTGGCATAGACCACGGCGGAAGGACCAGCTTCCGACTGCGGCATGTCTGTGAGCCTTGTTCGCGCAAGTGCACGAGGAAGTGAGAAGGGGGTCGAGAAGGAGTGAAGTAAAAGTTTGTCGGAGGAGACGAAGATGAAGTGGAGTGATGAGGTTGTGGCAGACGCCTTCAGGGTCCAGTTGGCCGCATTTCTTCGCGTTCAGAGAGACTGGTGTGCTGCCTTCGTTTTTGGATGATTCTTCTAATAATATTTCGGCTGCGCCTGTGGGTCGTGAGCCGTGAGCCGTGATTTTGGCAGAATGTGGAGCCCAAACTTTCCTTCTCTCCTGTCACCATCGCCTGTTGTTCGGCTTCTCCGATTCATCGCTGCACCGCCGCTCTCAATCGATCTCACCACCACAGCAGCCAACCTGTTGCCTCCTTCTCGGACTCTCACGACCGCCACAATGCCGCCGAGGAGAACCAGAGCAGCCAAAAAGGCCGACGAGCATCAAGATGCCGCCGAAGCCGCTACGACCGCAGAGCCGTCAGCATCAACTTCATCAGCGTCGCGGACAGTAGAAGCCGAGAATGTCGCAGCCATCGCACCCGAATCAACACCATCCAAGGCCAAAGCAAAAGGAAAGTCGAGAGCGGCAAGGCATCAGCCGTTGCTAGCAGAGGGACCGACTCCCGTACCCGCTGCTCCGACTGGTGATGCCGACGCGGACGACGACGACGCCACCACCTCAGAAGCAGTCGCTCAACCGGATCCCGAAGCCACTTCCACTGCAGCGAAACCAACAATGGAGGATCGGCACGCACGGCTCTCCGCCCTGCGCGCCAAGATGTCCGCCTCTTCCCGTGCCAATCGTCGGGACATCCTTTCCGAACAATCGCGCGCACGATCCATCGCCTCGGACCTCTCATCCTCCTCCACCTCATCACGCAAACTTCTCAAAGCCGAGAAACTCCTTCAAGAGCGAGACCTTCGCGAAAGCGGGACCGACGTAGAAAGGCATCGCAACCTGCACTATTCCCTGGAAGACAGTGAAACGTGGGATTCGAAGCTGGAAGCGAAAGAGAGGAGGAAAGATTCGGGACCGGGGGATTTTGGAGATGCTGCAAAACGCGCCTACCAACGACAACTGAAGACGATCAAACCCGACCTTGCCGCCTACAAGAAGCAAACCCAACAAGCCGGTTCATCGCACCTCGCAACCCCCGCCTCGCTCTCCCTCACCCGACCCGACACCAGAGCGCACGACGAGCTGCACTACGGCACCCACCAACCCAACGACGACGCCGTGGATCGTGTCATCACCCACCTCAACGCGGAAAAGCAGAAGATCAAGAACCGCTCACGACGCAGAAACGACGACGGCGAAGAAGTGAATTATATCAACGACTCGAACCGTCACTTTAACAAGAAGTTGAAGCGGTTCTATGATAAGCAGACGCAGGAGATCAGGGAGAATCTGGAGAGGGGCACGGCGCTTTGATGGCGGGGCACGGGGATGTGTCTCAACGGCTTTTGCGGAACACGGTCTTTTGGCAAAGCAAGAGGGATTCATTATATATACTTTGATGAATGGGTTTGTGCTTGTGTTAGTTCATATGGCGGAAGACGATATGTTAGGAGGATCATGCGATGCTGATGAGGATAGCATGGAGCATACGGGCGAAGTTGTGAGACGGAAAACTCAATCGATACTCCGCGAGAGGGCAAAGTCTAAAGTCGACTCTTAGCACTCTTTGGAATGCGCACCCATGCAGAAGCCTCTACTTGCAACCGCTCAGCAACGAGCGTTTGGCCTCGAGTTGAGATTGTACGTGATCCATCCACCCTTCAGACCGCGCTGGTAATCCCAATCCGCAGCCGACTCGGTCTTCCACGTCCAGAACACCCATCCCGACGCACGCTCGTACACCGACACCTGCGTCTCGAACATACGCCTCAGGTAGTCCTTGTACGAGCTGGAAAAGGCGGAGCCGTCGCCCGTCTTGTCGGAACAGCTGCCGACGTAGTAGCTTCCCGGATAGCTGCCGTCGTACCTAGCACCCACACCCCTACCGTTGAGATACTTGGCACAATCGGTAGGAGCGTTGGACCATTCACCGACAACCGTGTAGAGGTTGCGGTTGGACGTTTGAAGGTCGTTGATCATGTTGCAAAAGTTGCTCAGTCGATCGTTCTCGGACAATGCCACCTCGGATGGCGAAAAGACCTGGTAGATGTGCGTATCGAGCAGAACCTCCTGATATTGTTGAGGTTGCATGAAGCCGTTCCAGTACGAGAGGTCCTGGAAAGCGTCGTGGATCATGATGGCAGCATTGCCAAACTTGGATCGTGCAGCGTAGTAGCCCGAGTTGTAGTACTGCTTGGCCGCTGGCAGCATGTTACCGCCAAGGAAGCCGGCAGGTTCGTTGAGAAGCTCGATCGAGGTGACGGTACCGTCATACTTGGCGTAGCGCGCGGCGATGCTGGAAATGACATTGACGCTACGGTCGATGTTGCTCTGGGCGTTGGGCCAGTTGGCTGAACCTTTGCGACCGGAGTTGTCAAAGCCGTTTTGCGATCCGGGAGCGCCGTGGAGGTCGATGATGACCTTGAGACCCGCATTCCTGCACCACTGAATGGCGCTCTCGAGGTAATCGGCCTGGTTCGAATGGACGTATGGTTCGCCTGCCGACGTGTCAAAGGCCCAGTAGCCGATGGGGATGCGTACGTGGTTGAGACCGGCAGCTGCGATCTGGTTGAAGTCGGATTGGGTGTAGAAGCTGGCCCAATGCGATTGCATTCTACCGTAGGCGTTGTTGGCGTACTGGCCGAATGTGTACTCGTCAATGACGCGCGAGTCACCAGTGCTTTCGAAGAGGCTCGGTGTGATCCAGGGCTCGGCGACGAGCCATCCTCCAATGTTGACTCCTCGTACCTGCCAACGCAACACGAGAAAAGATCAAGGCGACAATGTGTCAGACAAGAAGAGCGCGGATAGTCTTTACGTTTCGGTGGAGCGTGTCGAGCACTTACCTTTTGGCTTCCATAAGCAAATCCGGGAGATTGACGAGATTCGAGGACGATGCGAGCATCGCTGAGCAATTCGCCGCGTTCATTAAGGAGCGAGTCTTGTAGCTTGCCTGAAGAATCGGCACGGATGACGGGGCGAGTGTCGTTGCCAGCAGGTATAAAGCCGCCAATAGGAGCGGGTGCCGCGAGGACGTGCTGCGAGAAGAGGGCCAGCGCCGAGGCCAGAGCCGGTAGCAGGGTGAATTTAAGCATCATCTTACTTGTTGACCTCTATTCTATTCGTCTAGGGCAGTTGCAGGGTGTGTAGGTGCAGAAGAGAACCGATGGTGTAGCTTGGGTAAGGAGAAACGGGACCCGAAATGAGGTAATGGCGATGATGGCGGTGATGGCGGTGATGGTGGAGAAGAATGTTGACGCAGGAGGATGGATAGGATGTGGCTGATCGATTCTGCCAAGAGCAATTGTGGCTGCTTATATGAGCTTGAGCCAGAGCAGGAGAGTAAAGGGATCGAGAGGGTAGACTTGAGGGAAAGAGTCTGAGCCTGGGATTCGTGCAGCAGCGTCCGTCAAGGTCAGTGCGAGATTGTGTGTCGGCACGAAGGTAGAAGGTGATGATAGCGTTCGGTGTTGCAATTGTAGAGAGCGTGGTCGTGAAGGTTGAACGTAAACGGGGATCGAGAGGAACAGGAGGAGGTGGACGGTTGAGAGGGGGTCGTGGCGAACAGCGGCGAAACAATGCGGCAGCCAACTGGGAGTAGCCGAAGGGGCTGGCTACAGACGAGCTGCAAGTCGAGCCAGGCGAGGTCGTATAGCCGGCCATTAAATCGAGGCGAGGGCGTACGGTACGACGTACAAGAGAGCGAAGGAGCCTTTGTCTCGTCACAGCCGAGCCAAGCCGTTGTGACAGGCGCGAGCGACATACGATGACATGGCAACGCGACCACCCATACACAGAAAGTCAAAAGCGAGCCTGCGACTCTGATCGAGCAGAGCAGGCCGAAGCAACACGGACGGCGAGCGAACGCTTCGCAGGAACAGAAGCTGCCACAAGAAGGCGTTTCTCGTTCTTTGACAGGCTGGCATGGACGTGCATTTTGTGCGTCGAAACCGAGTGACAGGACGGCATGAACCCAACGTGACGGATGGAATTTTGATGCAGACCCGTGCCGGGCGGGCAGAGCGCAAGACCAGGAGAGCGGGTCAACGCGCCGTGCAATTGCCGGTGTCCACAAGGCGATCGGAAGGGCCGCTTCGGGGGCTGTTCAAGAATGCAGAACGACGGACGGTTGGTAAGCCAGAGCTACGCCAAAAGGGGAGAAGCGTGAAGTGACCTCAGCATGCGCAGGCTGTGGCGCAGGAATTGCACTAAGAGAGCTCGGCAAAGGGTTGCATAGACGTCGGACGGCATGTCAACTAGACTCCAGAGGAGCGAAGCACAATAGACGAGACAAACACTGAATCACTGAACCCGTGACTTGTTTTTCTGCCTTTTTCTTGTCCGGTGCTAGCAACCCCACACTGATCAACTACATGAGCGCGGGCAGCGGTTTTGCCGTCAGATCTCTCGACCCGCAAGGAACGCTCCGTGCTCCGCGAGCACCTCTGCCGGTGAAAAGCGTGCTAAGATGCATCGAGACAGACTAGCGTTGCATCCCTCACCGACCAGAAAGGGGCTCAAAAGGCGCGCTTCTTCGGCTCTTGATTGGTTCGGCTAAGCCCAAAGCATCGTTGGCGATTTATGACTTTGAGCGCTCGCAACGCCTAGGCGAGCGGCGAGCTCGTCGCCAAGAGCACAAGATGGCCGTCCGAGTCGACGACGACATCACAAGCTAGCGCAGAAGTCGGATGCCAAGCTATCTTCGGCTCAAGCTAAGGATTGACTCGAGCGACCGATGACGAGGTCACATGGTTGACGCTTAGGATCGCAAAGACGAGCGTCGTGTCGTCGCGACGATGACATTGGATGGTAGCATTCGGTTGCGTTATCGAGGACGAATGGAAGAACGCAGCTCTTCTACTACTCGTGCCGTTTGGCTTCTTCTTACCTCCGAGGCAGATGGTGGGATACGGTAGCTCTTGGTCTGCCTCGCCGGGAACGTGCTACGCCGGAGAATGGAAGCGACCAATGAGGGTTTCCGCACTCCGACGGCGGGCAAACAGGGAAAAAGATCCCTCTTCAGCCCCGCTCGCCCGGCTGCTTCCTCGGGAGATTCGGTCCATTTGGCGTGCGAGCACACACTTTCGAAGCGGATAGAATGCGCCTGGACAGATCTGATCATGTTTCCGCGCAGAAAGCTCATCGCGACGGATTCATTCAGAGGTACAGTGTACAGAGCGAGGGAAGCAACGAGTAGGACCGGCATCCGTCTTTCGTTCCAAAGCGCGGTGAATGCTAGGGTCCATCTGCTTTTCATGCTGCTTGGCTGTCAACGACGGGCGCGCGGCCGGTCAATCCGGGGAAAGGCATCTCTTGACTCTTTGTCTCGGAGAAATACTGGGCTTCTGTGAAGCTTCTACCGGTCGAAATTTTATATTTCATTAAAAACAATTATTAGGAGCCCCCTTCTCTATGCGAGGGGCGCCGCGCTTGGATCGCGTACAGCAAAATCCATCGCGGTGGAGGAAGCCGTGTCCTGATCAAGTGCCATCCAGTGTTGAGCGTTGCCCGTCTCGCTTTCCGTCGGCGACGTCGAGCTGTGTGTCGCATCAGCCGAGCGAATCGCGCGCCTCGCTCCATGCTGCACAAGAATCCAAGTCCCCTGACGTGGACCCTCGCTCTGTTCCCACCTGAAAGCCAAACGCAATCTCGACTCTTAAGAGCAGCAGCAGCAGCACCGCTCCTCTTGCTCGCCGTTCTGAATCAAAAGTCGACGGTGGATCGGTGGGTGAGACTACCGATTCAGTTGGCTGTGTACACTCGATCTCTGGATCGAATACGGTGTTGGTCATTGATGCTCGACATGTTCGGCTGCTGGCTGTCGTCGTTCGGTCAACACCCCGTGAGATCCTCGACATCCCCTTCTTCTTGTTCTCGTCGCTCTTGTCGGTACGAAATCTGACACGACGATCGACAAAAGCAGCCAAGACTGCGAGGGCATGATCAATCTGCGACACGGAGAGAGGGATTGCCTTTTTCTGCGATCCTCACGCATTCTCCCCGATCGCTGGGACCATCTATTGGCCATATGAATCTCGTACACGACATCCAATACAGTGGTAAAAGCTGACATGCTGCGTCCACAGAGCTGTTTCAGTCCATGCGATCCAACGCTATGGCACGTTGCCGGTAGCCACTTGGCACACCCGGCATGCTTGGCCGGCAGACGCGTCGTTGACTGACGTTCTCGCTGATCCGCAACCTTGTCCGCCGCCCGATGTTCAGGTTGGCGTTCCTCGGCAGCACTGCACACGCCGAGATTGCAGCATCGTCGGCGGTGCGAGGCACGCAGAGTGCGGAATTTGGACGTGATGCAACATCAGTCTTTCGGAGCATATTTGTTAGACCTTTTCTCGTGTGTCTTGCCCTTGGATGAAAATTACTTGATTTGGTGATGCTGACAAATCAAAAGGCGGCGCACTGCACTGCGAGCTCACACGCTTATTTCGGCAAGCTGCGCATTTTTGGCGAGAGTGATTTTGGATTTGACACTTTCTTCTTGATATGCTGCGCTGCGCTTTGATACGGCTTCATCTGCTACCGCCTTCTATCCTGGACGAAGCAGGCTTCATCGAGGACGTGGCATCCTCTCGTACTCCCACTTTCCTCACGAAAACGCCCTCAAACACAATCAACACACGACTACTCAGCCGCTGCCAGTCTCGCTCGGAGCATTCTCCCATCTGCTCGGACTGCGCTCGACACCATTGCAGATGGCTTAAAGTCTCTCCTGCACCGCTTGTCGACCCTGTCGCACTTTCTTCGTAGTCATGTCCGAGCCCTACAACTTTGAGCACTTTGACGGCGCCTCAGACTACGGTGCAGCCAACTTGGAATACTCCTATCCAAATGGCGGCTCCTTCCCTCATGGCCAATCCAATGGTCAAAAGCAGTTCAAGCATTCCTCGAGCAATGACCGCAAACAGCTCGACCTAGACCTAGACCTTGATGCAATCAGCGACCTGCACATCACCGATCGTGGTCTCGACTCTTCACGCCATCATGCCCACTCTCATCCCGATGCCACCTCTTCTTCACACCAATCCACTGCCGCTCATCAACACGACTTTGCTACGCTCTCGGATGCCGGCATCTCAGAAGAGGCGGATCCAGCTTTGCTGCAGAACCTTCCAGAGCATGCCTGCGCCTACTGCGGCATCTTCAATCCAGCATGCGTAGTCAAGTGTCTCATCTGCAACAAGTGGTTCTGCAACTCGCGCGGCTCCACTTCCGGCTCTCACATCGTCAACCATCTCGTCCGTGCCAAGCACAAGGAGGTGTGCCTCCACGCCGAATCGCCGCTCGGCGAGACCACGCCCGAGTGCTACAACTGCGGAGCCAAGAACGTCTTTCTTCTCGGCTTCATTCCAGCGAAGAGCGAGACCGTCGTTGTCCTTCTCTGCCGTCAGCCTTGTGCCGCCATGTCCAACTCCAAAGACGTCATCTGGGACACCACCCAGTGGTCGCCCCTCATCGAGGACCGATGCTTCCTCACTTGGCTCGTCAAGGTTCCCTCCGAGCACGAGCAGCTGCGTGCACGCCCCGTCACCTTGCAACAGATCAACCGTCTCGAAGACCTTTGGAAGGACAACGCTAGCGCCAGTCTTGACGATCTCGACAAGCCCGGCGTTGAGGAGGAACCCGATAGCGTCCTCCTCAAGTACGAAGATGCCTACCAGTATCAGAACATCTTCGGTCCCTTGGTCAAGATGGAGGCGGACTACGACCGCAAACTCAAAGAATCCCAGACGCAGCAGGACCTCGTCATCCGTTGGGATCAGGGTCTCAATCAGAAGAAGATCGCATGGATGATGCTTCCCAAACTCGAGAGTGGAGAGGTCCGTCTGGCTGTCGGTGATGAACTCAAGCTCCGCTACCGAGGCGAACTGGCTCCACCTTGGGAAGGCGTCGGCCACGTCATCAAGATTCCCAACAACGTCTCGGACGAGGTGGCGCTCGAGCTCAAGAGAGCCGACGGCGTACCCGATCACTGCACCCACAACTTCTTTGCCGACTTTGTGTGGAAGGCCACCTCCTTCGACCGCATGCAGAGCGCCATGAAGACGTTTGCTGTCGACGAGCAGAGCCTCAGCGCCTACATCTACCACAAGCTTCTCGGCCACGACGTTGAGAATACCACGTTGCGAACCACCATGCCGAAACGCTTCAGTGCTCCCGGCCTGCCCGAACTCAACCACAGCCAAGTCAATGCGGTCAAGAGCGTCCTTCAGAAACCGCTCAGCCTGATCCAGGGTCCTCCCGGTACCGGAAAGACGGTCACCTCGGCTACCATCGTCTACCAACTCAGCAAGATGAACCCCGGTCCCGTCCTGGTCTGCGCACCTTCCAACGTCGCCGTCGATCAGCTCACTGAAAAGATCCACAAGACCGGCCTCAAGGTGGTTCGTCTCACCGCCAAGAGCAGAGAGGCGCTCGACAGCCCCATCAGCTTCCTCACCCTCCACGAGCAGGTCGCCAACAACGATACCAACATCGAACTGCAAAAGCTCATCCAGCTCAAGAACGAACAAGGCGAGCTCAGCAGCAGCGATGAGCGCAAGTACAAGGCGCTCACCCGTGCCTGCGAAAAGGAGATTCTCAGCACCGCCGACGTCATCTGCTGCACCTGCGTCGGATGCGGCGACCCTCGTTTGGCCAAGATCAAGTTCCGAACGGTGCTGGTCGACGAAGCCACGCAGGCGGCGGAACCGGAGTGTATGATCCCGCTCGTGATGGGCTGCAAGCAGGTTGTCTTTGTCGGAGACCACCTCCAGCTTGGTCCCGTCATCATGAACAAAAAGGTCGCGCGCGCAGGCGCAAGCCAGAGCCTTTTCGAGCGCCTCATCATGCTCGGCAATCGGCCCATCCGACTGCAGGTGCAGTACCGTATGCATCCTTGCCTCTCGGAATTCCCTTCCAACATGTTCTACGAAGGCACGCTGCAGAACGGTGTCACGGCGCCAGAACGCTTGCGCAAAGATGTCGACTTTCCCTGGTCCGTGCCGTCGCTGCCCATGCTCTTCTTCCAGAACCTGGGTCAAGAGGAGATCTCGAGCAGCGGTACTTCGCTCCTTAACCGCACCGAGGCTTCCAACGTCGAAAAGATTGTGACGCGCTTCTTCAAAGCTGGTGTCAAGCCATCGCAAATCGGTATCGTGACCCCCTACGAAGGTCAGAGGAGCTACATTGTCAACCACATGCAGCTGCACGGCTCGCTCAAGAAGGAGCTGTATAAGGACGTCGAAGTGGCCAGCGTCGATGCGTTCCAAGGTCGAGAGAAGGATTACATCATTCTCAGCTGTGTGCGTAGCAACGAGCACCAAGGCATTGGCTTCCTGAGCGACCCGCGACGACTCAATGTGGCGCTCACCCGTGCCCGATTTGGTCTGGTGATCCTCGGCAACCCCAAGGTGCTCAACAAGCATCCTCTGTGGCACTATCTATTGATCCACTACAAGGAAAAGGGATGCCTGGTCGAGGGAGTGCTCTCAAACCTGCAGCCGAGCATGATGCAGTTCCCCAAGCCACGTCGACCGTTGCAGAAGCCCGGCGACCTCATGGCACGCCACCGTCACGATCTGATCGGCGGCGACGGCTATGGCGCGTCTCGTAGCGGGCGATTGCCGGATGCAGGTGCAGGTGGAGGGTCTAGTCAGCTCGGCTTCTTTCGCACGCATGATCCCATGTCGTACATTCCGAGCGACGCTCAAAGCGTCACAAGTCTTGGCACACAGGCGACGTATCCTTCGGCGCATCTTTCGATGGGCGGCATGCAGGGCCCGTACGCCAGCAGCATCGTGAGCCAAGACGTCGACACGGAGAGCTTGGCGGGTAGCACCGCACCATCGGCCAGCATCACGTACAGCCAGAGCGACCGCCTGCACCGACGCCTCAGTCTGAGCAGCATGGGCGGCGCTTCGGACGTGACCAGTATCGACAACTATAAGGGCGACGGCAGCTTCGTTGGAGGACACGACGATGATGCGGGTTCGACGTTCTCGGCTGCCATCTCGCAGTCGTCGTTCACCACTTTTTGAAGTACAGTACCACCATGCAGAAGCAGATGCAGATGACGCAGCGGCATTGTCTCCATTGTTTGACTCTCTTTGGGTCGGGGCATGAAACTCGCTTCGTCTCTGGAAGTACTTTTCACGCTGCCAGGCTGGTCGACAACGTGAATACGGCTGCGGAATGTCATCGGATGAAAGAAGCCGTCTGTTGGAATCCGAACCACGCTCGAGCCCATGCGACGTCGCCGTGCTGCGCTTTACCGTATCCACGAGCCATTCTCCTGCACCCCGCCTCGGCTGATCGCGCTAGGATCGATCGAAACAACCATGCAGGCACAAGCTTGCGCTTCGACATTGCCGATGACCAATGCGCGTTCGGAAAGCTGATCGTCGATGCTGCAAGCGCCTGTAGCAGCCAGATTGGAACTCGATCTGATCTCCAACAGCGATGTCACGCATGCACAAGCACGCCGTCGGTAGCTGTTAGAAGATTCATTGTTCCACTAAACGACGTTCGCGTGGCTCGCACCCCTCCCTCCATGCAATCCATGTTATGGACCGGTGATCCTTTTTCCCAGTAAACTTGGCGCTGTCGTGTGTAACAACCTTGTTTTTCTTTGAGCTGCGAGAGCCGTGAGTCAGGAGCGTTGGAAGAAGTGGGAGCACGAGGATGATGCATTGCAACCTTATCTTTGTTTGACGAAGACTGCAGCTGACAGCTCTGAGACTAGAAACCAACAGCGAAACAAGATGTCAAAAAAAAGTGTAAGATTCCATGAAATCGTTTCCCCGATCCCTTGCTTCGGGTGAGACACAAAAGGCAGGGAGGTGAGACTACAACAGAATGGGGTTTTGTGTGGGCGTTTGACAGGGAGCTTTCTTTTGGCAAGTTTGAAAGTCCGAACGTCCGTTTTTTCATGCTGCAGGGAAAGAAGGAAAGAAGGCTTTGTTCGGCGCATCACGCTCTGGACCCTTGGGCGTACTGGCCAGCCACCCAGCCTAAGGTAGAAAGCTGCAAGGTGGAGCGGGCGAATTCGACTTCCTGCAGGCAAAGCTACTTCTGCCTGAGCTCGTGTTGACCCGCATCGCCACCCGATCGTGCATGTCTGTGACCCAGCTCAGAGAGAAGCAGATGTCTCAGTCGCGCATGCGTCCCCCCCCCC